GTGAGAATGTAATATAGATAAGAAAAAATAACATCCTAAGTCTGAAGGCGAAAGTCATCTCTCTGCTCATTAATCCCTTTCCTGGGGAAAAAAACTGGACACTTTTACACCTGTAGATTACTTCAGGGACAAAAATAAACAAAGAGGTTATTGGAAGACAAAGTCTACCAGATGGTACAGTCAGTGGAAATGGAGTGGAAGTACAGATATGAGCCTGACAATTGTATCTGGTACCACAGTGTAGGGCAGCAAATCACAGCAGAGTTGTGCGATAATAAGCTCGGGTCAGAGCACAGCACAGTCGTGTTAGGCAATGCTGCACTTCAGATGATTCCACAACTTCCTAGCACAGAACGACTTCCTGCATCATACATGATTTAATTTTCAGGTCCTGGGGTATCTGTTTTGTGGACCTGGAAAGGATGTCTAGGTGTTCCATCATATTTTCAGTTCCACACACCCAGGTGTGTATATACTGTTTAGGCTGGTCTTTCTTCAAGTTTCATTGATTATTGTTTTTTTGTTCCAACTCAGTTTAACTTTGCTCTAGTTCCTATCAACTCCCCTTAAACTCTTGCACGCCCTGTGCATGCAGTCCTCTTCCTTTGGTATCATTGTTTCCCCACAAATAAACCAGCTAACAAAAAAAATGGGAGCCAATTCAGTATTTGCTAACGTCACATTGTGATGGGAAAGAGCATCAAAAACATGAAGAGTAACTGCAGAAAATTAAAAAAAAATAAAAAATAAAAACAAAACCACAAATAACCCCAAGCAACAACATGACAAAACCAAAACCCCTCACAATACCAAGAAAACACCGAACTCCGCTGCATAAGACATGAAAAAATTTCTTGTAGCGTGCAACAATCTCTAGTAACTCTAACACATCTCATATCTATAATGTGATTTACTACACAAACACCACAGGAAAAACAATCAATTTACTACTCCAGGAAATGCTTCACTATAAATATGTAGCATTGCATATCTGTTATAATTGCTCAGAGGCAAAATAACGTTGCCTCCTATTTGAAGTAGAAATCCAATTTGAATGCATTTTAATGCAGATACTTGAAAAAAAAAAAGCATCTAGCAATAATTTTTCAAAGAATCCTCCATACATACAGGAAATTAGGCAGAGAATTAGAATTCACAGTTCTCCTACCATGAGGAATGCCATTGTGAATTATTTTAATTCCATACAGTTTGCTATTTTTCAGCATCAGAGATTCATTTTTCATTACAGTAGAATAATAATTTTTCACAGAACAAATTAAACTTACCCTAGGAGCTTACACCAAATTGTTCCACTCCCCTCTGCTGGGAAATCAGAGGAAATGGACTTACTAGATGATCTCTCTAGATCTTCACTGCAAAGATTTTGAATTCTCTAAGCAAGAGGAAATGAGAGGCTTTATGTCTTCTTGTTCACAGCTCAGATCACTTTCAAGAAATCGTCCTTCAAACTCAGACATCAAGCAAAGTACCAGCAGTGGTAGGAAACACTGCACTGCCAGTTTAATGGGAAACTGGATTTTCTGCTTTACAATTCTATTAAAATGATTACAGAGAAAGCTATTACAAGTTAAAATTTGAGTCCACTTGAGCAGCAAAAGAATATGCCTTTATTTTATGATTAACCAATTGTTCTCCAGACTGTCACAGCACATATGAAGTGTTTCAAATGAACAAGTCTGAAAATTTCTGGGATCAGGAATCTTTGTACAAAAATATCAGGCCAGACTAATGCTGCTACTCAATACATCAATAATGGCACTTGCCCTTACCAAAATTTCTACATCTCTAAGTAAGATTATGAGATTTATTGACTTTCAGGACAACCAGAGACACTTGCCATTAATCAAAATAACAACTAAAGAGATGGTGTTTATCTTCTGTTCCAACATGAACAGAGGAAGATTTAAAGTATAAGACCAGTCTTTTCTTTAATGAGATTGAGATAGGTTTTTGGTTGTTCATTTTTTAAAAATTACTTTTCCCCAGGGAGGTAGATTAGAAGGGAGAATAAATAAAGGTCGTAAACTGCCTCTCACTTAGTGCAAGTCATGTATTGATACCAGAAAGCCCAAGCAACATAACACTTAATAACACCAATATACTTCTATCCATGAGTCTTAAGGTCTCAATGAATTACATATCATGCTGGTGTATCTACCCACAAAAAGATCAGACATTCCCTCACATAGTTCATCTTAAACAAAGTCATTCATCTTAAACAAAGTTGTATTCTCCACACAACTATTCAAGGTAGTCACTTTTAGCCATCAGGAATTTATTACTAAGGGATTGACAAATAATGCAAAATGTCATTGAAGGATATCTGCTCCAGGTGAAAATATATTGCAATAAGGTATTTTATCTGGTCGACAGCTACTCATGAGGGATGTCTGCAGTCATTGAGATCACTTATCCTTTCCACAGGAACAGCTGAGTTTCCTGTGGCTTATTACTGTCACCTGGAATACCTCTGAGAAACAAAACTTGGAGCTGCAGAGGTCTACAGAGCACTGCTGAGTGCCATTCCTCTTTATTACTGCAATACTTACAAAAAAGTTGTAGCAGAGAAAAACAGACAAACAAACAAAAGGGAGGAAAGGAAAAAAAGAAAAGAAAAAAAAAGAACACATTTTATGTGTTTATGCATTTGAAAAAGTTGATGACAGCACTATTATGAGAAAATATTATAAGTTATCAGATTGACATTGCATATATTCTTTAGCCTACACATTTTGAGTATCAGCAGACAAGTATTTTGGATGGTCTCCTGATGATTCTTATTTAGATAGTTTCAGCCTCTGTTTTCCTACTGAAGCAATTCCTTTTTTCCCTCGGCAACTCTTTTCCAGCTGTCTTCATTCCTTCCCCATGAGGACAGAACCACAGTTGAATGCCAAGAATCTTTCTCTTTTTTCCAGTTTTCTATTTTTTCTTTCTCAGTCCCTTATTTAAGTCTCTAGGTTTTTGACAGCATGTCTGAGGTTTGCTGTTATTTTAAACCAGCTGCAGATTAAACAGAGCGTGAAAAGACATCGGCCCCCACCCATATCTCCTGCTCTGCTTCTGCAGTGCTGGCAAAAATCCCAGCACAGTGATGTGCCTTCCCTCTTACCCTTGATCCAGTTCCCCCAGCGCACACCAGACTTTTCCTGTTGGCTCAGAACGGCCACGTCCTGCAGCCAGGACCCCCAGTGCATGAGAACTTTGGCACTGTGCACCCCCAGTGACTCAAGCCCCTGTCACCTGGAGTCTGCTACTGGCCCAAAGGAAGGCAGTACCTCTCTTTCCCCAGATGTGCCTGTAACAGCAGCATTACCTCTCCTCTCCTGTTAAGTTTGGACTGTTTTCACCCCTTCTCTGAATTCTGTTTCTTTAAAAATAAACAAACAAGCTAGATCAACTCCCCAAGCTTTGAATACAGCTTTGGGATTTCAGGTTTGTTGACTGCAGTCAGTTTAGCACTGCACACCCTGACTCCAGACACCGATAGGAATATAAGCTGTAGTGTGGAACTACATTTCTTTTCCTCAGTATTATTTACAAATAAAGCATAAAAAAACTAAGGACAAAAGTAATTTTCAGCAGCCTGATTATTTTCTCCCATAAATCTGATGTTTAATTCCTAAGTTTCATGACCTCATTTACTTGCAGAGCCACTCCTGCTGTTTATCTCGCAGTGTGGTGTAGGGCAATTATGAGTAGCACTCTGGAACATATTTTCAGCAATTATGGTAATGTAGATGATTAGGAAACAAGCTCATAAAGTTTGGCAAAGACAGTGTTAGTACTCTACTCTCCTTTCTGATGCAGTGGGAAATGCTGTTCCTTACTGTGGGCAAATAATTAATTTTTGACTCCTGTTTCTCACACTAGTATTAATTTTAGCCATGACATATGTTTTCTACCTGACACAAAGTAACAAGAAATGATAAAAGGAAATAAGGAGAAATAGGAAGAGGATAAAATTGTTTCTTTAATTATGGAGAGTTAGGTATTTGAAAAATAAATCTATATATTGGAGGGGAATCCTTATATTGATTTTCTGGATATTCTCCCTCAAAAGAAGTAAACCCTCATTATCCTTCTCACCATAAAAATTTCTACAGAAATTAGAATAATGTAAGCGACAGACAGCTCATTGGGAGCTGTGGGTTAAAAGTGAAAGACTGGTGGGGATTGCAAACACACTCAAGTGACCTTGCAGCTGGGAATGCAAAAAGTCTGGAGAGTAGCAATGTAGCAAACAGTGCATTTCATGCCTTCCTCTGCTCGCATTCTATGTGCCTAGAGAACATCTGTGTATCAATAACCTAGGTGTTTGGTAACTTGGAGGCACCCTAAGGGACAGGCTTGAGCTCCCTGCCTTGGTCCTGAGAAGATCAAAGCGCAGTGGAGAAAACAGCACAATGGTAAACCAAGCTTGTGCAAACCCTTGGCAGACTGCTGGGAACAGCAGGATGGGATTTTCCAGCATGAACTGGGCTTGGTCTTAGTCTGCATCTACATGTGTCCCTCTGCCAAGGCCTCTGGGTTTGTTTTCTTGGTTAGTACTGAGACTTTTTTGGTTAACTCCCCAAGGAAACTAGGTTTATGCAACTGCATAGGAACCTCCATGCCTCAGCTTCCCTTCCCTCAGCCCTTTAGTAAGCTCATAAATGGTTCACCCATTTTAACTACATTCAGACAAGGGAGGGAAATTTCTTTTTGCTGTGTCACAGCCTCCTAAGACAGAAGTAGCTCCCAGCTCCCAGGTCCATATGTGCCCTGCAACCTCCTCCACTCCTGTTTAATGCTAGCAAGGACAGAAGTCCATGGCTCAACAATAAATTTTTTTCTGCCAAATCAGTGATCACGGAGTTTAATGTTATTACTGCTTTTTATTTAGTAATAGGAAAATTCATTCATTCCTGCTTTTCTGAATTTTAAAATAAGTATTTTACATTCCAGGGTAACAAAAAACACCATTGAAAAAGCACTAATACATTTTATCCCATAGCTCTGAGGGTTTTTATTCCACAGCAACACTTTGAGTGAGTCAGTAATCCTCATACTATGTAGTTTTTTCCAGAATCCAGTCTAAATAGTCAGCAACCTTGGTGTAGACTCCTGGCTGCCTGGGGCGAGCGCACCCTTCGCCCCAGCTGGTGATGCCCACCAGATACCACAGCTCCTCGTGCCTGCATGACAGGGGCCCTCCTGAGTCTCCCTGTGTCACAGGACAAAAAGAGAGAGCAGGCAAGGAAGAGGCCTCATCAGTATTTCTATCACAAAGACAGCCTTGAATAAAATCAGCACCATTCAGTATCACCACCAGCATAACTGTCTGGCTTTCAATCCTTTTCACTTAGGACTGATTAAGAGAGGAGTGAAGAAGGTGTTCTGATTGTTTAGTAAATTGATTTCTAAATAGTCATTGCAAACAATTTCTCCTTCCCATGCAGTTTCAAAACTAATGTTTTTTATTATTTTCTTTATAATATTATTACTAATTTATCTACATGCAGTGATTTAAAACTCAATGAAAAAAACTATATATGCAAGTAAGAAAAACAGTCAATTTGAGGGTATTTTTCCTTATGGCCGTGTATTTAGTATCTCAGTTCTCCAAATGCCTTGTCTTGTTTGAGTGACTGTCCCACTCAGGATAAAACACCTTTGTGTTTTCTTTTCCTATTCCTTTCTGAACATAAGACTCCTTACAGAATTTTAATTCTGTATGGGTTGTTAGGACAACAGCAAGTGTGTTATTTTTCAAAACAGCATCTCCATGTTCTGTTACACTGTATCACATAAAGAAATCTCAATTGGAATAGAGGGAAAATTACTTCCCAGCTCCACGTATTTTTATTCCTAACTAATTATATGTTACTAATCAATAGTAACATTTCAGCATACAATTATTAAGTGTTAAATGTTTGCAGTGAAAACTGTATTTGGTAGAGAATTTAATATTAATAATCAGACTATTTTCTTCTTGCAGAAATTAACTCAGAATATTTCAGCTGGTGAAAGTGCGTGAGTTTACTCTTGAGCAGAGAATTTGGTTCACAGAACTCATGCTATTGTGACATTTTCAACCCTAATTATGAACAGAGCAGTTTTCACAGTTTGTTTTTAGCCTTCTATTCCCCATGCATTTTAATAGCATTACTGGCACCCTCCCTTCTGGTTTATATACAGGGGATGCTTTATTTTATGTACTGTATTTCCTACCAAGGTATAGAAAAAAAAAACCAAACACATAGGAAACCTGCTCTTATTGGAGAAATGCTTAAAGATAGTACACTTGCACTCTCTGGATTTCTGATAGTCTGAAGGAAGAGTTTTATTCCCTAAATGGATATCTCTATATCCACACTCAGTTTCCTATCCATGGAATCAATCCCTAAAGATTTCAATGTCATATTGGAGATATTTTCCATATACCTTGGTTTTCAGTGCTTCTGACAACCCAAAGTGACAAGTCGATCAAGAGCTCTATTGATAATCATACTTCCCTAATAACAATTAAAAATAACTGTAGTATTCATTTATATGTTTGAACATCTGGCTGGAATCTATACCCATACAATACTGTTTGTATACCTTACAAGCATCCCTTCCTCCTTCATCATAGCCAGCACAGATCACTTTGTCACCTATTCTGCGCCTCCGGTACCTTGCCTGGCATTCCTCTTTTGACATGAAGGGAACAGGAGCCTTTTGAAGAATATCTTGTACCCGACCTGTGTAAGAAGGCAACATGAGAAATGTTTGGTTCTAGCAAAATAAAGGTTAAAATTCCACTCTAGAAATCTCCATACACTGATACTAAGTGAGAGCCTACTGCTTCTAGAGTGTTAATAGATGTTCATGACACTGATTTTCCTTTCTTTGTGTTAGCAAACAATGTGAATTGTCTTCTAATTTAAATGTTTTTATGATGCCATCTTCTTTCTCATGGCTGGAAAAAAAAGCTTCAAAACTCCCTTGTGATGTGCAACAAATCCTCATGTGTGAATGGCTCTCAGGACATTGCCCCCTGGAGCATTGCTTTGTGTTAGTAACTATTATTTCCTAGTAAAGTCTTGCAACATGTTTGGAATCTCCCAGTTTGCCACATCTGTGCTGCTCTCTATCCTAGTAGGTTCTAAGATGGAGAAATTTGCACATAGACTAAACAAGAGTATTTAAAAGTAACCTTTTCTCTAGTAACTAACAGAAGAAATTTGTCCATACAGTAACTAAATTTGTAAGATTTCACATTGAACTATAACTTTCAGATAGTCACAGGTATAAAGGAAAAAGTACTCTCTAAATAGGTGCATATACATCCAAATAAACATATAAAAATGACACATATAAATATAAATAAACAAATAGCTGTAAAACCACAGCTTGATAATTAAGAGCTTTTTGGCCTATCTCCACATAAAATCAGAGGAGTTCAGATTTCATTTACTATCAAAACACAAGTCATTGTCATGGTCTATAATAAGAAAAGCAACATACTTCTATCTCCAGTTTCTAAAGTCATATGAATACAATCACATTAAAAAAAAAAAAACCATGAGTTATGTGCAGACTGTAATTCAAAACAGTTCAGTGGTACATTTATTGCCTTTTTTTTCAGCTAGGAAGAAATCAAGAGTGTACAAAACCCAGATAGATACTGGGGTTTGCCAGTAGATTAAGCTAGAATCTAAAGAGTATTTGAGTGTTGTACAAGATGTATTTAAGATGGACTTCTCAGATATTTCAAACTATTGAACCAATTTATAAAATTAATATTGTGTCAGAGCGTGGAGGTATTTAATGATAATTTCATACATCTTTCATTTATGTTTTATAGTGTGTTAATGGAAATCAATTCTAATAAAGAATTATATTAAAGTACTGTCTAGAAGGAATAGTGATATCTAAGAGCAGAGAACAGAGCAGAATTTCCTTTTTTTAGAGAAGGGGAAATACTTTTGTCAAACACATTCATTTTAAAAATACAAAAATTCACTGTTTAAAAGTATTTTAAACCTGTACCTTTTTCTTTTCTGTAACCCCATCCAATTACCCAACAGTCAGTATAAAATATGTTGGCATCCTCTTTTGATGGCAGGCAGATAGGTAGTTGAAGATCTAAAGTACAAGAGAAAACATTAGTTTGTCCAGCAGAGACAACTGCAAGAGTAAGGTTTTGTGGGCATCTACATGACCCCTGAAGACAGCCCCCGTGTCATGCTCTGTCCCTTACACTATGTATCATTCCCAGCACATAAACTGAAGCCACACTTTTTTTTGTTTTTTTGCAAAGCCAACAGAATAGATTCTCTTCAAAGCCCAGTAACTGCATATTAAAGGAAGCCAGCCCAGGTGTCATGCACTGCCATAGAAATGCCAGCCCTGTGTCTTCCTGCATGTTTTCACAATTCCTCTGCAATATGTTACATACCAGTAAAATTCATAGGCTTAGCAAGTTTCATTAAAGCAATGTCATATCCAATCTGTGCATGTTTATACTGGGAGTGAACAATAATCTCTTCCACTTTGAAGAAGGGTGTATCCTCATTTATTTCTGATTGTCTTAAAATACCAGCATAAATACGCCAAATGTTGGGATTCTCTAGACTGAGGGAAAAAGACAAAGAGTCAGTCTGTGACTAAATAGCCTAGTGCAGTATTATAGCAAGAAAAAACTCGTATCTCATGAGAATGTCTAGGGTTCTGTAGGTATCTGCTGTCTGCTTTAGAATTTTACCTTCCAGATTCACTGAAATAATTCTGCATCAGCAGTACATTACCATGCTACAAAGGGACAAAGTATTGTTACATTAAGTTACATTAAGAAACTGAATGTCTACCTGAAAATGTCACTGTTTGGTTACATTAAAGTGGTTCATCTATTTCTAGTTCTCATTGTTATCATCCTGAAAGGTAGATTTCAGTTAATGTTGCATGCTGGGTTAAACTTTGGGGCATATTTGTGCATTCAGGTTTAGGTCTCACCTCGTGACACAGTGAGCAGCTGTGAGAATCCACTGGTTGCTGATGATGGAGCCCCCACACAGGTGTCTCTGGCGAGACAGCTTGGCATGCAAGCTGACCTGCCACGGCCACTCACCAGGGAAAGAGTCTGTGCCACCAACAATCCTAATTGTTCTGGCAGAATGCTGCATACACGCTACAGAAATAATTTAAAACTGAGCTTAAAGACAACTTGCATTCACCAATGAAAAATGAAGATGAGACTACTGCTGATCACTGAGTAGGCACCGCGTATTGAGAAGAAGGTGATACATGACACATTTTTCATGGTTTGTGATCATAAAGTCTATTAAAACCAAATTCAAAGCGCTGTTCTGGTGTTTACTATGTGAAGACCTGACTGACTTCACTTTTCCAGAACATTCTAACTTTACAAGAACACTGGGACATTGCAACCACTTTAAAAAAAATATGGTTTGGCCTCCTCCACTGTAATCAGGGAAGCACTGTCTATTTTTCATAAAAGAAGTTTTACTTAATTTTACTTACTTACTGGCTTTTTTTTTGCATAATCTTAGTGAGTATCCAGAAATACTTCCTGGTCCACGCACTATTTTCACTGGAGATCCATTTGAGGACATTCTAAGGTGACACGCACACTTTCTGCCAATGAATTAATGCAAACATTTAGTTTGTATTTTTTTCACCGAACAGCACATACATTACTCCCTCACCACATCTCTTGAGTGATTATTTCAGGAATCTTTGAACATTTTAAAAAATATATCTCACCCTTCTTCATGGCATGAACCTTGGAGGAGAGAATAGGAAAAAAATTGGCAGCGGATCATGTCTGTGCAAACCTGCTGACAGGCTCTGTGTCCTTTAGTGTAAGTGACATTAAGTTCATCTCCCAAAAAATCCATATGGGTGTAAGTGCGGGAATTGCAGGCTGTAAGAATGATTGCATTCAAAGCATCAGAAAGTTGTTAATTAGATTAATTCAAACTTAGTATTTTTATTGTAATCAATTGCTTACCAGGAAAAGGTCTTCTACAATTTAGGAGGCCAAAGCCTGATACAGCATTTTCTTGCAATATGAGGGCCTCTGGAATTCCACTTGTTGATGTCTTCAGAAGGCAAAGATTTCTAAAATGAAATATTTTTCACAGTAACTAAACCTGTTCTGTTAGGATGTTCTCACATCCAAAAAAAAAATTGTTTAGGTAAAAGAAGGTTCTTTCCTAAATACACTCTTTTCTCTCAAGTCTCAGTCTGTAGAAGTATTTAATAAGAAAATACATTCACTAAGGTCACTAGTTCACATTAAATTGAGGCCATCTTTGTAGTGCTGTGAAATGCCATAAAACAATACTAGTAAAGGTGGTACAGTATCTATACATATAAAGAAGAGGTGACTTTAGATGATGCATACCATCTCAGCTTTGCTTCTCTCTGAAATTCCTTTGAAACTTTATTCTTCTGATTTGTTTGTAATGTTGATTTTTAACTATTCTCACTACTAAACATGAAAGAAGAAAGCCAAATAGAAATATTTTTAAAGCCATTAACTTAATTGAAAAATCTTTTCAAGTAAGTTCACCCTGCCAGGAAACCAGATGGCCATTTTCGACAACGTCATAAAATTCAGCTTTGAGTCTTTGAAACAATCTGGAGGCTCACTGTACTTTTGACATGTATAATTCTTTTCAGATTAAGACCAGATACACAACCACAATACAGAAGCCCTGATCACATTGGAAAACAGTTTAAATGACCACAGGAAGTTATAAATTTATGAAAAAAAAACCATAAAAAGCTGTGCTTTACTTAAAATAGCCTTTCAACATAAATTTACATATATTAGTAAAGAAATTAGTGTTTAAAAAAAGACTCTGTGTTTTTAAAAAGTAAACTTTAAATAATCTACATACATAATATCATTTAAGTGTCATATTCACCTTTGAGATTCTATTTGCGATTTTCTGGTAAAAAATGTAAAGAACAAGCACTTTGGAAAATATGTACAAATAGTTTGGCAGACAGAAATATCAGGAGTGAAAAAACTTGTAATATTAATTCCTGAAAACACTTGATCTTCAAAAATGTCCATTTGACAATCTGTATAAAAAAAAGAACAAAATATATAAAAATTCCAAAAACTTATATCATCAGAAGATTGAGATTTACAGATTATTCATTTCTATCTTTATTCCTATTTTCCTTCTGTGATTGATAACCTGGAAAGGTAACACAGCATTTTAACCAGAAACTATTTCTCAGGAATATTTTTGAATATGTAAAGTCATGGAGAGCACATTTGGTGGCAGCAGAGAACTTGATCTGTTGAGAAAGTACAGCAAACCAAGTCAATATTGCCCAGTGTGTTATAGAAACATATTGGGAGCATCTTACTACAGAAAGGGAAACTAAGAAGAGGCAGAGCTTACTGTGAATGCTGTTAATTTGATGAGGTTTTCAAAAAACATAAGCAAGAGAACACAGCAATACTGGGCAGTAATTACACAATAAGAACAGTAAAACAATATAATCAGAAATGTAGAAAATTAAAGTCAAATAACTCTTGCAATTAGCAGGTAAGATTCTAAGTTAAGGGGAAATAGCATTCAGAAGAATGGATAGTTTCAAAGGAAATTATATTTAAAGCAAAAATGTGGATCTGAAACTTCAGGGAAGCTAACCCACAGTCCCAAGGATCAGGTTCAGTGATCATTTGCTCAATATTCAGTGATCTCCAGGAAGATGCTTTGCAAAGGGCAGAAAACAGATAAATTACTATGCATGTGTAATAGTGTGTGTGCATAAGAATAAATTCAGAGAGGCAAAGGCACAAAATGAATGGCCACACAGAAAGGAATAATCTAAATAAAGTCAGAAAAAATCCTCAAATAAATATTAAAATAAACCCATTTCAGATACTGACAAAATAATAAGGCAGAAGACATTACAGAGGTTTTATGACTACATTCTACAAATCTCTGTCTGGACAGGTATACATCATCTGTCTCAGATTAGGACAGATTACCTCCTTAGATGACCTCTTCATCCACTAGTGCTTTCTATGTTTCTATGATCACACAATTTATTTCTTCTCTCTCTTGCCTGTTCTTGCCTCTTTCACCAAGACACAGAAAGTAGAGAAAGATAGGCAGGAGCAAAATTGATTTTCACATTATTTCATGGTTTTACCCCAGCCAACAAGCAAGCCCCTTGCAGCCACTCACTCACTCCTCCACCAGAAAGATCAGGGACAGAATCAGGAGGGTAAAAGCCAGAGAATTTGTGGTTTCAGGTAAACAAGGTTTTATAGGAAAAGTCCATGCTGAGCACCAAAAAGGACTTTGGTGGGTTGACCTTGGCTGGATGCCAGGTGTCCAGCAACTCACTCTATTATTTCCTCTTCTCAGCTGGAGAGGTGAGGGCAAATGAGATGGAAAATGACTCATAGGTTGAAATAAGTCAGTTTACTAAAGCAAAAGCAAAAGTTCTCATAGACACAAGCAAAGAAGAAAAAAACCAATAATTTTATTTTCTACTTCCCATCACCAAGTGATATCTATCCACTTCCCACATGCGTAGTGGTTGCTCCAGAAGACAAACATTGTGAATAATAAATGTCTGTCCTTCCTCCTCCTTTCCTTAGACTTTATAGCTGAGCTGATATGACATGATATGGAATGTCCCTGTGGATAATTTGGGTCAGCTGACCTAGTTGTCTTCTGTCACAGGATCTTGCCCACCCCCAGACTATTGATGGGAGGAACACTGGGGAAAGAGTGCTGATGCTGTGCCAGCACTGCCCAGAAGTAAACCCAAGCACTGATTTAGAATTTAGAATTGATACAGTCTCTACAACACATGATTTATACAGGAAAACTTGATTTTCTGTGAGATAAAATAAGGATATATGAAAGCAGAATAACATCATCGTCATTAAGATGGGAAAATATCACAGTAAGACAAAGTGGAGACACATTTAAAAAGAAAAAGAAAATAATACAAAAGTGAAGATGTTTCAATTGAGAAAAAGAAGGTTTGATACACACTGTTTGATTTTAGACTCTTGAGAATTTTGTCTGACTGATGATTGCAGAAACAAGCACAGAGTTTTTGCTTTCATCACATATCACTCACAAAATGCATAATATATCCTTTCCTATTAGCCAACTGTATTAGAAAGCTGCAGATCTCCCTTAAAAATTTCCAAGTGCATACACAGTATATAAACAGAATGCAGAAAGTTTTATATTTCCCTTATCTTTGAATCTGATGGGCTTTTATCTTTCATTTTTGTATCCATGATACAAAGATAACATACAATTTCATCAAGTTAATCTTATGAAAGAATCCTTTGGATCTTTAAAGGGAACTGTTTCTGTAAGACAAATGATAACATGAAAAAATTAAAAAAATATTAACCTCCCTTGTCCCTGAATGTACTAACCATATTTTGAGAATAAGATTATTCTACATAATAAAACATTTCTGTATGTCAGCAATTGATTGCATTTCAGAATACATGACCCTGAAAACTAACCAGAATCAGAGATGTTAAATAGTTACCTGATTCAGAAAGCTGGCATGTCCTTAGAGAGAATCCAGACACAACCTCATCAAGCACCTTAATGTTGGTTGGAGTTCCTACACTGGTCTGTTTCAAGAAGCATTTTTTACTGAATGACAAAGAATAAAGAAAGTGGTAAGAAAACAAGTCTTCCTTGGACTAATCCATCCTCCTGAACCCAAAATTCCTACCATTGTGCACGGTCTGGCCATGGGCCAGAACAATCTCCAACCTCTAGAATAGACTTCAAATGATGAACAGAGCTAGCTGAACAATGTTTAACTTGCAAAATTGAGCAGATTAAGAGCTCAAAAATAGGTCTCATTAAAATGAAATCATTTCTCTGGATGCTCTGATGATGCTATTTTCAGAACAATAAGCAGAGCAAGATTTAACAGAGCAAAAATGCAGCACAGCTATCAATATAATTTGCATTTCAGAGGATTTTAGCTTTTTTCAGGGCTGTAATAATTCAGTAAAAGGTGTCTTTTTCACCAATGGACAAATGGAAGATGATTTACTGTTGATATTTTCCTTCCTGTAAGTGTGAACAAACATTGCAAGGATGAATAAATTCTTGCACCTTAAAGTGATCTGAGATTTAATCTATTTAGGCACAGAGCTGTCCAGGGGAATGAATCCAACCTGTATTTACCAAAAGCTTGAATTGTGAAATGCTTCAGAGGCATATGTAAAAAAATGACAACGGTTGTCATTGGTACATCGTTTTTGGCATTCTTGATAGCTGTCAGCCATAGTAATATCAAAAATATTCCCTTCCATATCCAGTCCTACATGGACATCTGGGCTGCAAGCTGTGAAGAAAGAGAGACCAAGTTCTGAAAATGTACTTCTATTCTTTTCCCCATCCCGTGCCCCAAATTGCCCAAAAGATAGCAGTTTGTATGACACAGCCCGCATAATCCAGATGCCACATCCCACGCTCACTTCAGTTACATCACACTTTATACATAGATCTAGCACCAAATCAGAAATGTAGGTTTAGTGTGGTACCTCATGGCAAGGGGAAGAACTGGCAGACTTTGACAGTGCCTCTGCCTACATGAGAGAGGGCCTCTAACCACTGTGGCTGACTGAGACCAGGATGACATTCACCAAAGCAAGAACTCAGAATCCATATAAAAATATATTTTCCCAATTCCTAATCAATAGAGCAGTTTAAATGGTAAATTCTGTCCTCGTAAGGAATAGACATTTCCTGCTTGAGTCAGAATATAACATTTACACTCCACAGAGGGAAGATTGCAACTGAGGGTTTGAAATGAAGGTCATTTCACAGAGCAAGAGGCAGCCAATGATTTGAGGCATCTTCAAACATGTAGGGAAAGATTTTCATTTTAGTCCGATTCTCAGTAATTCCAGTGATAATAATTAGTCTTAATAGCATAAAGAATAACATCCCACTGAAATCTCTTTTTCTATTCCAAGATACTCAGAAATACAAACATGAAGGGTTACTGGCAGGAAAGAGCTTTTAAGGGGCCTGACTGATCTGAAGGGCAAGTGGCAAGCAAAAGCAAGCACAATTTATTGATAATAGCTACAGTGCAGAACTTGCATAAAAACCCACTTAGTCCTGCCATGTTGAGATGCTATACCAATACAACTAAAGAACTACCCTGACATCCCTAAGACACTATTTGTCCTCAAAGGCAGGAAGTGAATAACTATATTCTTCCTCAAGCATGTATACCCGAAAAGAGGCAGCTGCTAAAGAATTCTTACACAGAGTCACAAAAGTACTAGCATCACTTTGTGACAGTGCACTTTTGCCTTGCTGAGCATCTGCACCTCAGAGTTATAAAGCAGGGTCACACATGTGAGGCACTTTCTGGAGTGGAATTCTAGTAGTAAATTAATCTATAGAACTGGAGTCAGCAGTTAAAGCATGGGTTGCTGACTGTCTCTAGCAAATGAAACAGTGACTGCGGGAGCATGATTTCCCTGTTCTCTCTTCTGGGGAACCTGGGTGGTGGTTAGGTCAGCCAGAAGAGTAAAACCAGTGTTTTTGTCACCTGTGTTTGAAAGTGGTCTGGCAAAGAACACACAAATCACTGCTTGGCTGCTTCCCTGATTCTATTCCTCTTTCCAAAATGCTAATTTTTTAACAGCTGCTATGATGCATGCATGTGAATAACCATATCTTACCAGTAATATGGTTACACTGTTTTAAGGAATGTCCAGAGATAGCTCCTTCCATATCCACTTTCGGCAGCATTTCTGTATCACTGTCTTTTAAATAGCAGGAGAACCTGTGTTTTGAAATGCAGCAATTCACAGTTTTTGCAGTACAATACAGACTTTCATAACTGTTTCTCAGGTGAAATGCAGCCTGGCCAATATCCCTCAACATTCAAATTTTGACAAATGTAATTGGAAGAATAATAGTGTCAAGCCTTACATGCTTTGTTAGCAGTGGTGGCAGATGAGAATATTTTGTGCTTGTGGGAGCTCCAAGAGGTCTCAATAAAATGAGAAGCAGAGCCCAGGGTTTAGAGGACAGAAATGCACAGGTCATAGAGAGAAGACAACCTCATTCTCTCAGGCTACTGATATTCTTAAATGTGAGAAAAACATGCTAAATAAAAAGAATGGGGAAAAGTACAGGGGATCATTGGAGATGTGAAATTATTCACATTGTCCCTCAACAATAAATACGTGGCCTAGAGAAGGGAGAGCAGAGTCAGTTTTCCTTCCTTATAAGGCCTGGTGTGTAAAATATTGGGCATTGTCAAATTTAACCTTTTGAATTCAAGCATTTTCATCTTCAATCAGATCACCAATTTTAGAGATACATGACATTGCTTCCCATGGCAACCCTGCACCTTTTTCTGCATGCCTGTGTTCTGTCAAAATGTTACCAGGTTTCTAAATTATCACAGGAGACCAGCAAAAGACACAAGTACATGAACATTCTACCTTTTTGCAGGATCTTTAGTCCATGTTGCTGGCAAGTAGGTGAAGAGCAGACAGGTAGGATGGTAAGTACACACTATTTGGCAGTAATTGGCAGTCGGCGTAAAAACTGTAGTGAGGTCTCCTCCTTGGAAGAATGTATTTTCATAGATCTGAGTCACACATTCTGACACGGAATAACAAAATGTGTCAATTATTAGAGATGGGAACACCCAGTTCAGCAGAAGAGGGTGAAGCCATTGCTCTTTGTCACTGAAGACAGGCTCTTGTCAGGAAAAGTGGGTAAGGGGGGGTGAGTAGCACAGTTCCTCTGAGAGTCCCATCTTTTCACTCCAGCAGAAGTAATACAGTCTAGGGTGTCTCCCTCTGTTCCCTGCCTCATACCCAGTGCTAGAGCAGGGAAGCTTGAACCCAGAGAGAAACCCAAGAAGCTGGATGGGCCACAAGGCAGATCTGCATGGAAGAGGAGGAAGGTGCCTTTCCAGTGGCAACTCTCAGGAATAGCAGAAGCCTCTCCTCAGAGAGACCAACACAGAACATCATTATGAAGAAAACCAGGAAGAGAAAGTGCAGAGACCAAAAGGAGTTAGAAAGCTTTATGAAAAACTATTTTTTTCCTATTTTTTAGGGATTCTCTGAGGTCAGAATGACAGGTGGTGCCACTGTGCACAGGCTCAATGGCTCCCAGCATTTCACAGAGCTTCAGCTCTTTCACGCTCTACCCTGAACCGCCCAAACCCTCTTCACAATGAAGAAAATACTGTTACAGGAATAATGTCTCAGGAACAGTCTAGAATAAAAACGAGCTGTTCTACTACCTTGCATCTGCATGGCTTCTTAACTCTGAATGGCATGCTGAACTCTGTACTGGCAACCACTCACACTGCGGACCTCTGCAGCAAAGGTACCTAAGCAGAAACCTGCTCCCATCTTTCAAAATGAAGGCACTTGCGAGATCACAGAACCACAGAGTATGCTGAGCTGGAAGGGATCCACAAGGATCATTGAGACCCTCTCCTGGCCCTGCACAGGGCCATCCCCAGGAGTAATACCATGTGCCCAAGAAAGTTTTTCAAGCATTTTTTGAAGTCTGTTAGGCTTGGTGCTGTCACCACTTCACTGGGGAGCCTGGTCCTGTGTCCAACCACCCTCTGGATGAAGAACATTTTTCTATATATCCAACCAAAACCTCCCCTGACACAGCATCAGGCCAGTCCCTCTGGTCCTGTCAGTCTCAGGACACTTGGGGGGTCTTGGATGTCCGCTGTAGTGAAGAAGCACAGTAGTTTTTCCAAGGGCTCTAAGATCTCTGTATTAAAACACACAAGAGAGCTGTCTTTCCACAGGAGACCACTCCCCTTTTGAATTTGCCCTCCAAAAGGAGTAGCAAACCAATGAAACAGTGATTTTTATCCCTGCATCTAGCAAAGTGCTTTTTCTTGGATAAAAGATAAAGAGAAAATAATGTATTTTTACAGACTTGGAGGAAACCAAATTGAAAACATTTTATCTAGTGGCATAAACTGTTACTATAGAGTGATCATAGTGTATCAAGGAATATTTAAAATGAAAACAAAAGGTAATATCATATAGGATTTGACAGTTTTAAAAGACTACAAGTGGATTCTATTTTTTAATATGATTATAAGCTATACTTTGGCAATTCAGTGGTTCCTTCACGCAGGTATAATACATTATTTTTTTAAAAAAAGTGATAAATGAGGATTATTAGACATATGTGCTATGTGTGCTAATATGTTTCAAAGGTTAAATCCTTGTTAGTAAAAAATTTGACTTTATAAATATCCAAGTTCTCTGGTATAAATATATATATATATATATATATGTATATATATCTATTTACTTTCAAGCTATTTCTCTAAAATACAGTATTTAATATTCTCAGTAGCATTTCTTTATTCAGCTTTGTAATTCACAGAAAAAACATTTTCAATTCTTAGAATACACCAAGTGAGTTCTAAAGCTAAAATAAAATAATATTGCAATTGTTTACTCTACCAGATATTTTGGATCCTATTTATCTTCTTCTAGCACAAATTAACACACAAAAAAAATAATTTATGCTGTAAAACTATGCACCATGCAAAACTGTGCCAATTCTGGACACTTTGATTTAATTAAAATGTTTTCTAGGCCTCAGAAATTTTCCAAGATTTTTTTGCTGAGACTTAAATCCAGGTAAAATATTTTCTTAAATAATAAGTCATTTATCTATTAGATTTTGCTTGAAAGCTGTTACCTAATCATTCTCTGAGAAATCATTTAATACATTACTGAATTTATACCCATGTTAGGCCTTAGCTATAATTTATCAGGAAAGGGAATTTCAGAGGAGTGCAATGCAACTTTTGTAGTTTAACTTTTGCTAATGGAACAAAGTAAATCATTAACACAGAACGAAAGGCATACATTACTCTGCCTCCCGCAGCCCCAAAGCTTCCTTCCCCTGCTTGGGCTACGAACCTTGCCATTGGGCACAGAACATGGAGCATCACACTAATTTCACAGCTACAATGTGGATGCAGTCTCAGTCCTTTAGAGAAAGGCATGGTGTCATGTGTGCTGGGGGAGGTGACAGCCTGGGGGGTGGCAGGACAGTGTCACGAAAGCCCCTTTAGAAAGTTCCCTGTCAGACAATAGGGTCATGCCAGTTACCCAAATTTAACTAAGTTCAATCCAGCAGAATAAACAGTTCTCCCAAGAGCAGGCTGCAGGTACTAATCTTCTCCCCTTCTGCAAGAGTTGCTCTAGGCTGTGTGTAAATTTCAGTAATTATATATTAACTTACCACTGTAAACAGAAGCAACTAAGAAAATGAAATAAAAAGTCCGGTAAATCCAGTTCATCCTAAAAACCACAAAATCATTCTTTAGGATATGTTCAATAAAGGGTGTAAAACTAGTTTTATAAAGCACTACTGAGCCTAACACTGATTTACACCTATACTGTTTCACTGTTAATTCAAAATTACATTGAAAGTTACATTTGCAGCTGTGACACTGTTTTGGCAAACCTTTTAACAGCAGAATATTCATTCTTGCTTAGACTGGGAACAATATTCTGCTGAAATGACATTACTAATACTGTCTCTCCAGATAGTTTAGTAAATACTGTTATCAAGGTAGCAAAAAAATTACTCACACTCACTGCTTCATATGCTATAAGAATTATAAACTTTTTTTCACCTGCAACAACTTAACCTGTGAAATAAATTAACCACAAAACATAAGTCATAAATATTCCAACTTACTCTGCCTTGTTGCTATGAAAAACTTTCACTGAATAGCAGTTGCAATAATGATTACATACCTGAACACATAGTAAGTCTGGATGTATGGATCAGGTTTGCATTCCACTAAAAAACAAGTCAACACTTTCTGTTAAATATTAGTACCTGCAATGCTAACTCATCTTTAATATTTACTTTGAGCGGGTACTCTTTTTGTCAATATTGTTACTGACCTTGGGGCACATTTTCAGAACATCTATCATCCACACCGCTCTGGAATTGATCCTGTATAACCACATTTATGCAACATAGTCTCTCTTTTCTCCCCTATAAAATGATGATAATATTTTAATCCCCTGGAAAAATTTTCACCTCTATATCAAATTATAGAATTTTAATTTTCCCTGGAACCAATCACAAAATCTACCCATATTTGAATATTTACAAAGTAAGCAAAACTTGCCATTTTTTGTGTTGTCCAACATATATTAGTATTCAATTAAAATTATTATTTTGCTTCTGTGTGTGTGTGTGCATTTCAATTGGTGGCACAGGCAGCTTAGAACTTTTGTCCAAGAACTTAGTTTCTTCACTTTTCATTTCTTGTCTGGGCTTTCCATTTCAGATATTGGGGAATTATTCCAGCTTGTTACTGTTTAAATAAAAACAGAAGCAAAAAACAAAACAAAACAAAAAAAATCTCCAATCATACACTTTTTGAAAAATAAGGTATATTATTCAAAAAAGCAGAAAACCAGAGCAGATTGACCATAAATTTTACCAAGATAATGCGTGTCATTCATGCAAAATGTAGCCATACCCACATTCATCAGAAGTTTCTGTAAGATTTCATTACAATAATCCATTGTCTATATTTTAGAATTTTGTCTGAGGAAGGAGCACCTTCTGGTGATGGCAGTTTGTTTTAAAAGCAAATTACTAAAAAAAAAAAGGGGGGGGGGGGGGGAAGAAAAAAGGGAAAAAATATTTCCTTAAAGCTGCAGTTCTCAAATTCAGGTATCACTCTGTAAAACCAAATATCATTTTAATTACATCTGTAAGGGCATCAGTTGGATTTGATAGTGAAGCTCAGAAATAAGACAGAAATGCTATTCAAAGAGAATCATAATGAGCATGCTCACTTTGGAAAATAAATGCATTTTCTTTCACTGGGCCTGCTATTCACATGGCGTGCTCCCACTTACACTGCTGTGTTGTTGCTCAAACCAACAAAGTTGTACTTCTGTACAGAGGAAAAATGTATTATGGACTCTACGTTGATGAGTGAGTTATTGTTTATTATAGGACATAATATTTATTATAGGACAAATTACAAAATATGCTGAATTAAGTTTCCTGAGCCTTTCTGAAATCCATAGATTAGATAATTTAAAGTAGGAGAAGAGTTAGAAATCTAAAGTGCATAAAATGCCAAAACCATCTCATAGTCCTTAGGCTCATAAGGGCTCAATATATGTTTATTGCTGCTCTTAATTCCCTCTTTGTATCAATTCAGCTAATATTCTAAAAATAAACTAAATCAAATTGTTGCATTTAGGGTTCAGTAATTCAGATAGCAGAAATAAAAGAAGAGCTCATCAAAACATTTTTATAAATGGAAACATTTTTGATGATCCAAGTTCAAAATTTATTTGAATAATCCAAAATAAAATTAAGAGTTTGCTTCTGTTTGACTTTGTTTCATTTTGACTTGGTAGTTAAAAAAAACAAAACCTGCTTCAGCCTGAGCAAGTTGTTTAAGATGACATCTCCCTGGCAGTGCAATTGCCTACTTGCTTGATACTGCTTTCTGCTGATTTCCACTGCGATCCACGCACAAATCTCATTCATCTGCAAAGGTGGCAGGAATTACTGAGCTGTTTCACCTCGGGAAGAAAATGACTGAATTCCAGCCTGATTTAGGTCTCATTCTGCCTGGCAGAACCAAATCCCACATTTCTTACAGCAGTCCTATTCAAAAAACAAGTCAACCTCAAACTCAGAATGGGAGTGGATCTACTCTCTGTGATGAGACAACACCCACTGTTGTGATGTGGAGCAAGAGCAGGAGGAAATGAGGGAAGGAAGGCACCAGTATGGTGAGAGCAACCCATTCTCATTTTGATTTGGCTTTATGCACACCCTTCCACCTGAAGGTGGATACTGTAATAATTTCATGAACCTGAATACTCAAGTAGGAAAAAAACCAACCAACCAATATTCTGAAGAACTTCATGGCTATCATTATGTATATGACAAAGGAGAGAGCAAAATAAAATATCAAATGCTGCTGAAACAAACTCCAAATCTAAATCTTGATCTTTTCTTCTTACAATCAACAATCTAGAGCTTTTTCATCTGAGTGAAGAATCCACTATCTCACTAGGGCAGAATCTTTTGTTTGACTTGATACAACCAGAAATGGCTGCAAAAAGTTGGATAGAATAATTTACTGATTTGTGAATAGTGCAGCACTGTGTATTGTATCAAAATAAAAGCAGTTTAGTTGTTCCATATCCTGAAATTACATGTCAACAGTAGTCTTCCTGGAAATAGAGCTCAGAAAAAACTGCAAATCAGATGTCAAATAAGAAATCAATACAAATGAAATTCAGGATCATAAAAGAAAACAGCTGCAAATATTAAACAAATAACTACTGGGCTACTTATTTCAGAGGACTTCTTTGATTTCTTTCTTATAATCAGATTTGCCATTTTTTTAATAAATGGAGAATCACATTACTGCCCAAGGCCTTACATTTTGGAGCTAAAGCACCTGATGCTGGCTATTGTTAGATATTAGAGAAGACAGTGTTTCAACATACATAGGAGGGTCCCAGTCTGTTGATCTGTCTGTAAACTGTCAAACAGTAACTCTTGAGCAGTTGTATGTGTCCCTCAATTACTAGCCTGGAATGAGGTCATTTGGGCATATGCCAAATACTAATTGAGTTTTTTGATAACTGATAACTTTTGCCTTTCTTTGATCAAAATATTTTGCAATTTCAATGAACACTTAATATCTCCACAAGTTATACTCCAGGCATGAAAAAGAAAAGTCCATTTGTTGAACAAAAGATAGGGTTACACTTTAGCAGAGTATAACTAAGAGACTCCCATTTTCAGAAGAATCTCAGATGTATGTATTTTTTTTTGTTTAGAAAGCAAGTTAATTTCACTTTTAATCTTTTCATCTATGCAAACCATGAAGGTAATCTTTTAAATATGACCAGGCTATAAACTGAGGTACTTCTATACTGGGAGTTTTGCCAGAGTGTGGCACCAATAATATTTTGGGAAGAAAACTGGGGTAGGATTCTCCAAAGGCTATGACTCTTTTAGCTGCTACAAGAGGACATAACATATGAGATCAAATACGGCAAAATTATTTGTTTGTAGCAGTGTACTAACATTTATATACGAGGTTTTGTCTTTTAGGACATGAGGATTAAATTCAGGAAGGCAGGTGGATATCTAGTATGCACTACTATTCCACCTCCTGCTGTGTCCAAAACATGCAGCTGTTAGAGGCCAAAAAAGCAGATTGTGTCAAGGTGGCTGGAAACTTCTACTACCTCTGAAGCACCTGCATGTGCTCTCAAGCAGAACCTTCCAGCAGAGGGAGGTCACACATTGTTTGTTGTCAGTGTTCCTCGTAACAGCGGTAAACCATGATCCAGAAACACACTCAGTTTGTTTCTGTCATCCCAGTAGAAAGCTGTGTCTTTTCTGACACCATACAAAAGGGGATATTTACAGAAGGTGTAATATTTTGGTTTAGAGATCAGCTGCTACCTTAATACCACAGCAGATACCTAGAACTCCAGAAAAAGATTGCAAACAGCTACTACTACATGCAGTTTTTATTCCACAATATTTTACTGTCCCATTATTTTATCAGGAAACCTGGGAATGCTGTGCTGCATTCCACAGTCCTACAGGAAAAAAACCCAAACCCACACACAATAAAAACCCAAAACAAACAAACAAAACCTCCACAAAACTAACAAGCAAACCCCCACACCCAGAGAGTTGTTGCAGACCACTACCAAAAACTACACACCACATGATTTAACCTAATAAAAGCACACTACACAATGCAATGTATTTAACATCTACCCCGCAGGCAAGAAGTTCCTTGTGTGTTTTCCTCAATATTTATTTCCTTGGCAGCATCAGATTGCTTTAGAAGCAATTTTCACAACAGAAGATAAGAGATCACTGCCATTTCAGAACAGCTCAGAACACAAAGATTACCGAATTACATCAGTGCTCATCTTAGCAAAGACACTTTGTGCATCACTAAATAGGGATTTTTCACATTGGCATCCTCATGCCAGCATTTGAACCCATATACTTTTCATAATGAGTTTATTAATATAGTTTTATCCAGATTTTGGTTTTATTTTCTTGTCAATTTTGGAGAGTATAAGGAAATTATAGTAAATATACACACATTATATGAGAAAAACATGGTACAAAAGTAAAGTACAAGAAAAAATATTGATCGGTGTAGATAGAAGTCATAAAAATCATCTTATGGAAAAAAAGTGTTATAATTTGGTCTATCTTACAAACTGTTTCCACAAAGTAGATCCCACAGAAAAAAAAGAAGTAATATTAATTTTCATTTTTCTTGAAAGTCCTCAACTTAAGCACATAGCTTAAGACATGAGGTACCTCTCCAGGTTTCAACTACATGCCAAATCTCCTGAGAAAACATATTCTAGATGCTAATCATATTTACCTTGAAAGTTCACACTGCCAAGTACCCAAAAGCATGAAATAATTTCTTAATTCAGAGTCTCTGGAAAACATGTGTCATGTATTATATGCATTAACATATGAAGGTGGTCTCAAAAGTTATCTCATTATAAAGAAGACAATGTTTAGATTCAGCCCTGGAATCTGAAATTCTTGCTATTATATGGCAATGAAACCTATCTTTGAAAAAGAAGGCTGAATAATGCAAGTATTATTATTGTTAAAGACTTTTTTGTCTTAATGGTAAAATAAAGGTAGTGATTATACACTATTTACCAAGATATGTGATTTTATTTATGTAAACTAATAATTAAACACTTTCTTTTTAGAAGATACTCAGAAAACGGTAAAAACTAGGCTTACCAGAATATAAAGAATTTGGCAGGTTCAAGGAAACTTCTAATTTACTTGGAACAAATATAAATTGCTTTGTCTTTATTATGATATTCTGCAACATACAGCAGTATCCCAGGTATTAAGTGACTAAGTGTTGTTAAAGAGACACATGGAAACAGACAAGAGAAAAAAATCTGTAAATTTCAATAAAATTATTAAGAACAGATTACTCCTTTCTTATTTTGTAACACATTAATCATTAGAGTGGATGAGTCCATGTTAGTTGCATCAGTTCTGACCTCCAGCTTCTCATCCAGTCCCCCTCTGCAGGCTGCCCACAGCCCAAGGACAAACTAAAGGCAATAACACACCAAAAGCCCCCACCACTAAGTGGAAAGATTAAAAACACGAGTTATAAATAACACAAGTGGTTTTTGGTGGGCACTCCTCTTTGTATGACACCAGACATCATGCTGGAGCAACACACACCAGCCAGAAGCCTCAAAGCATAGGGCACAAATAAAGCCAGCTAGAAGATCTCAACTTGGTTTAGCATCAGCTTTTTCTTCAGAGCTTACAACAATTGTGGAGTGTCTGTTCTCCAGCTTTATGACCTGTAGCAGATTTTGACCCATCCTGAAGGTACAATCAGAAACTTTCACAGGCACTTCATTCCATCACTGTGATTCCTCTTCAACATCAATTAGCAAAAACCCCTGTTTTCTGCCTTCAGGGCACTAGAAGGAAAAGCACACTGGCTCATTGTTTCAGCTTTGACTAGCACAGTAAAATCAAGTTGATTCCCTGGAGGAATGGATGCTAAGAAATAATTATTCATCAGCAATTTACCTGCACACAGGCATGAAATTTCAACAGATACAATTTCAGTCCACACTGAGGCATAGAAGAAGTTTATTCTCAAAGTTTGTAATAATACATTGCTTCTGTCATTATGAAATCCTGTGTGTAATTTGCATACTGTCTAGTTCCTGCTACGGTTATACAGAGTAATGCTTTTGGTTTTCTAAAAAATGACTCAGAGCACTCCCTTCTCACAAACTAATGCAAATGCTTACCAAAGAGGAGTGAAATTATCAGATTTTTTGCTTGATCTTTACAGAGGTAGCCATCACCAAAAAAAAAGAAAATTGTGCCAAGAAGGATTATCACTTGAATTTTTCAGAACCAAAGAAACCTAAAAACCTTACAAATACTTGGAAAATGCTATGGCAGGTAACCTGATCACTTCATCACAGGCATTACTGTTGTTATTACCATAAAGTTTTTGTGCTACTGTGGCAATAGAATAGTTTCATCTAAGCAGATAAGACAGGGTTTAAATTTAAGGTTTAAAGACTTGCATTTCAAAGATTAACATGAAGTTCACAAGCACTATAAAAGTAGAGCAGCTAGGGCTATTATTACATCTTTCTTAATAAAAGAGTAACAATTAGTTTAAACAAAGTGCTGGACTGACAGCAAAATATTTGTATTTAAAAGATGTCTCAGCTTAAATAGATTGAAAACTCTTGGAAGTAAACACTTCAAATTCCTTTCATTCTGATCCAGCATTTGGTCTCCTCTTCAGTTTAATCCAGATGCCTTTATTTGGACGAAGAATCAATTCTCCACGTAAACCAAGCTCTTCTGGCTTTTGACATGATTCCACCCAAAAGCGTCGCAGGATGAGGGCTAGAAGAGTTTTCTCCTCCATTTGTGCAAAGCGCTGACCTACCAGTTACAAGGCAGGAAAGAAATAATTATTGTCAGGTTGCATGAACAGCTGCTGCACTTGCATGCTCACAGGACTCAAGAACAGAACTAGCTTTAGGCCAAAATCATGTTCATATGGATACAACTAACACTAGCACTTTTCTCTACATGAAAACTCTGGCCTTCTTGGGATAATCCACAGTATGTCCTCCTTCCCACAGTACAGAACTCAAACAAGCAACGTGGAAACAGTCAACCCTGTATATGGAACTACTACAAAACACAGCCTTGTCATGTCTCCTGGATGGACTAGGCAGGGGGGATGGATAGCAGACCAGAGCAGATGATACAGCACAGGGACTGTGGGAAGAGAAAAATCTCATGGTTCCATATATGTGGAGAGGAGAAAAGGAGATGCAACGGAATGACAGACAGACCTTCTTTCAGTGATCATTAAGCTTCATACACACTGATGATTTGGTAGCACAGAGGGCAAAGTTCAATTTATAATTCAGAGATAGGTGAAGGAGGAAACATGAGAACAAAGAAATGTGAGGGAAACCAAACTACATGTCACAATCGAGGCAGTTCACAAAAACTAAATATAGAGATGGGACACAAAACACAGTGCTGAGAACATTTTATGTTCTCCCCTCTGTATTATATACACATATGTAAATATGATGCACTTCTGCAATGATACTAATGAACCATCTCTCCTGCACATGTTCCTGTGCACTCAGCATCTAGCTAGATATGTTAGATTAGATTAGATTTCTCTTTGGAACAAGGAAAGACCTAGTTTATTGCTCTTATGGAAAAGGGCACCTGCTACCAATGAGACAAACCAAAACAAATCAATTGCATCCCACAAAACCAGAAACCAAATGAGACAAAACAAAAAACAAAACAAACAAACAAAAAAAGTAATTTTTCCCATTATTGTAAATGGCAGGACAACTTTTGGATGTTCCCCACTTAAAATCAGTGGATTTTAAGTGAAAGAACAGCAGGGAACAGTCTTTTCACATGTTCTACAATACGAACAACACTGTCTCTACTTGAAGCACAAATAAATGCCAAGCATCTCAGTGGCATCTCAAAGTGCTAATGAGTTCTGGGATGACAGAGAAAACACCAAACCAACTACAGTGTCTGAAAAAGGGAAAGAATACATTAGTTGCAGATTGCATGCTTTGGACATCCTGTTCAGAACCTGAGAGGGACAGATGAGGTGTTTCCAGAGCAAAACGGGTGCACTACATGTGTCTTCTCTCAATCTGTGTTGCTGACACTGAGGATCAGAAATTTGGAAGCAATCATGTCCTAATACAGGAGCCCAATAACATGCTGCCAGGCTGCACATCAGTGAGGAAGAAACATCAGCATGACGGACACTGGTCCCTGGGAAGAAAGGAAATACTCTGGAAGAAGCCAATGGGGTAGCTCAACAAATGGGACAGCTTGCAGGGCACACAGCATCCAGAGTTCAGGGGTGGGGAGCAAGGAAGAACACTATACAAACAGTACTCATTGCTGTCTCAGTTACAACATTCAAAAGCAGAGCTGTTACATTACAAGGGCTTCCTCTTCAGATACATACCAATGCAGTTCCTGGGACCAGCTGAGAAGGGCACATAAGCGTATGGGTGCCTTCCCTTACAATTTTCAGGGAAGAATCGCTCAGGCCTGAACTCCTCTGGGTCAGGGAAGATCTCAGGGTCTCTATGTAGGGCATAAGTTAAAACAAGGACATTTGTACCTCTCGGTATCTGATATCCCTCTAAAGAGAAGAGAGAAAGGAAGAGTCAAAATGACAGCAAACAAGTGACTTCCTATACACAACAGAACAGTAAAAAATAAAACAACACTGCCCTTTACTTGGGAAACATCTCCACTGCAGAAACACTAACACAAGACAAACTGGCAGACACAGAACACCACTTACTAATACAGCAATCCTCTCTCAAGGTACGGGCAAACATGGGAACTGAAGGGAAGAGACGAAGAGCTTCCTTCACAACACATTCAAGGTATCGAAGATCCTTCAAATTGTCCATTGTAACAGAACTTTCATTAATGCCTGTCCAAAAACAAATAGAGGGATGACCAAGACCAAAACTCCCCATCTTTGGCTAAACAAATTCATCCTGGATCCCCCTATAAACTCTCATCATGCACCAAGACTACATAAGAGGTGTTACAAATATATTGAACTTGCATATCCTGCCCCAAAGACATAAGGTTGGTTGTACACCCCTACAGACCTTTCCACACCCATCCCAACCACCTCTAGCTGCTGAAAGCCACAGAAGGGCCACAAGGCATGCTCCTAAATCCCCTTCTAAGCTTTTAACACATTTCAACTCACAAATACAGCAAAACCCCAATGAAGGAGGAATGGAAACTTACCAAACACCTCATCCAATTCCCTGTGAACCTTCTTTTGAACTTCTGGATTACGTCCAAGCAAGTACAAGACCCAGTTTATAGCAGCTGCTGTTGTATCATGGCCCTACAGATTTACAAAGACATTCACTTCAACTCTATTCCCATGCACCAGTGGGCTTTGTAAATACTTAGGGGTGCAGATAGTATGAAAAGTGAGACTTTTTAGTCCCATGGCCATGACAAAAACAAGAATCAAGAATGAATAACTCTATTCAACATACTATCAAGATAAAAGGTGATTCACGATTGTGCTGACAAAAGGGGAAAGTAGTGACATAACCCAAGCAAAATCCCTCTCTTCTGATTCTCGGGAGCTGCATGAACTATCTACACAATGAATCAGATGTATATTCATGTTTTTGGTTACAGTCCAGTCAACATCTGGGAGGGGCAGTGACTATCACAGGAGAGATACAATGGACATAACTTGTAAGCTTTACAAAACTATCTAAAAATGGTCAAATGAGGGAGAGTACAGTAGCCATAGGGGAAAATACTTGGTTTGCTATGAGAAGGGAATCAACTCTTAGTTCACAGCACTGTGGGAAGGAGAGGAAAGGAAAAGAGAGACAAAAGGTGAACTAAAGAAGGGGGGTGGGGGGGCAAAAGGATATAAAAAAAAAAGGAGGAACAGAAAAGGGAAAAGTTGGCCAAAACAGGATTTTGATACTAAAAGATCACACTTGCGGTGAAGTTCAGGATGCTGTTGTAGTATTGAAATGGCACAATGAGAAGAGAGTTTCTCAGGTTACAACAGTATTAATATGATTCTACGAATTAAGCTCTTCTGAGAGAATTCAGGTCCATCTAATGGTGTCTGAAAAATTCCTAAAAATCTTCTTCAGATCCTCCCTTATGGAATCAGTCAAGAAGGGCCTCAAAGATGATCAGAGGGATGGGACATGTCTCCCTTGAAGACACGCTCGGAGAGTTGAGGTTGTTCAGCCTGGAGAAGAGAAGGTTCTGGGAAGACCTGATTGTGGCCTTTCAGTACTTAGAGAGGAATTATTAAAAAAACAAAACAGGGAGTATGACATTGATATGAGTAGGTAATTATAGAAGAGGGAATGATTTTCAACTAAAAAAGAGATTTAGATTAGATGTTGGAAAGAAATTTTTTACTTATAGATTAGTGAGGAACAAGTTGCCTAGAGAAGTTTTGAACGTCCTGTCTCTCAAGGTGTCCAGGGCCAGGTGAGATGGGGCCCTGGCAACCTAATCTAGTAGATGACATCCCTGTCCATAGCAGGAGGGTTGTAACTAGACAATCTTTAAGGTCCCTTCCAACCCAAGCCATTCTATGACAAGTTTCTACAAGAAGACGAAGCACTGTTGCACAGTGGATGACAGAAACAGAAGACTGTAGCCAATGTAGATGCAGGGAAAGTAGAAAGGGAAAAAATGTGTGGAGATATGACAAAATGCTAGTCAAAACTGTTAAACTACTTAAGGTTCTCTTCAGTGCTAATAAAGTTTGTAACAAAAGGCAAGAGCCCATGGCCCATGTCAACCGTTAAGCTTTTATTTCTCACCTGCTTTCATGGGTAAAGCCTGCTCACATAGGCAGGGCCCACCACATACACAATGTCCAACATTTTTCCAGGGCATACCAATGGTCCTAGCCTACCTCTGTAGGATAGAAACACTGGTACTTTCTCTTAGGCTTCCAGGACTTACCATGCTAAAAGCAACCTCCTGAACTAAGAGTCACCACCTGCAAATTCTAAATCTTGGGTTTGCAGTAAGAAAAAAAAAATCAAAAAACCCCAGCAAACAAAACCATCCATAACAACAACAACAAAAGAACAATAAACCAGTAAGTTCTTTGGTTACCTCAAACATGAAAGTATCCACCTCCTCACGAATATCCCTGTAGCTCAATTGTTGCCCTTCATCATCTGTTGCACTCAGCAGCATGTCCAGGAATGCTTTTCTCTTTTTGGAACCACTTTCTTCACAGTTGCCATCATTATCATGTTTCTCTTGCTTGGTGCTTTTAAGTTCTTCAGCCTTTTCTGCAATGACCTGAGATAGAACCATTGCATGAGACACACCATTTGCCTCATACAGTTTTGTCCTAACTTACCAAAACAACATCCATCTGTAGCAGTCTACATGAGCTAGTTAGCACAGCTGTCAGCATTAGGTCATGAAATTTAGCTGACTTTTTGTATTAGTAGTGAATTATGACCAACCTCTCTTACCCCAAGCAATAGAATAAAACTTGAACAGCCTTTGTGCAATCAAGGAAATAGATAGCTAAACTACATAAACAACTTGGGAGTCATCAAGAAGTGTAAACATATCCAGAGTATCTGGAACATGCCAATTATGAATGCAAACAATGGCAACCGCATATCAAAAAAATCACCACAGTGTGATCACATTAATCACCAATAAGATCTTCTCTATCCCAACTGAGAACTAAGGAAATATCTCACTTCCAACCTCCAAAAAACTCAGGAAAGTGAAGAGAAGCCAGGGCATCCCAGAACCACGTGTCAAGGCTACACATAGTATTGCTGAACCTGCTACACTAAAGCTTCCCAAATTTTCTCCAGTATGAGAGCAATGGCTGAATTTCCTTTTTTTAGGTCAAAGTACAGATGCAGTAACAGATGTAAATTTCTTACTGTTGTCACTGTTGCAGAGCCAAAACAGAACCCTTCAATAAACTGGCATTGCTCTTAAAAACAACAAAATAATTTAAAAGGGTGTAAAGTATGCAATTCTGTTTGGAGGATTCACTGAACAGAAGAAAAAAATACAGTTCTATACACACACATTGTTTTCCTTATTGAACACGCACATGTGTCACATATTGACCCATCCTTCACCTCAGTACTTGCTGTCAGCACCTTCACCAGATGCAACTATTATTTACAGTCCTTTGTCATCTTCTAAGATTTGGCTTATTATATTCAGTGCACCAGCCCAGCATGGGAAGAGTGCAAGTATTGCCTTAGGTCCTCTTAAGCACCTCTTTCATGACTCACTACTGCAATTACCAATAAAAGGAAGCAAAAAAAACCCAATAGAGTCAATGTAGCTCATTATATGTAGCCTAAGTTCAAAGATTATTTCCTTTGTCATAGACATTAATACAATGACATCATAGGACACATGCATAGGGAAAGCAGCCTCTCTGATAACATCCTAAAAGTAGATTTGGGAGGGCAAACTTTGGCAAGAATAACATACTAATTATTTGGTGAGAGAAAAGGCTGTTACTTCCACAGTCTAAGGTGGGAGAACATTTTACTTTGTGCCAAGTGAGTGATGCATGCCTAATGATTTCTGTATCAAAGTGCCTTGCTGCTGATCTGGGGACCTGCATGTGTTTGCTCCTCTCAGCAGTTCTGTTATGAATAGGGGAAAATGAATACAGGCTTCAGTTTCTGAGGGCTGAATCCAGTAGCACTATCATGCAGAGCCCTACGTTTACCGCTCCAAACTTGGCAGTGAGCCGTTGGAGGTGATCCAGCTGTGAAACTTTTGGGGCAGAACAAGAGTTCAATCAATTTCTGTTGTTTGTTTCAGTTGTCAAGGACCTGCAAGTTCTAGCACTCCCTTGGAGTAGTCTACTTCCTTGTTTAATTTCAACAGAGATTCTAAAAGGGAAGTCAGCCCTTGTCTTCCATTCAGGGAATTCCTCAGTATCCCAATAGAGCCAGCATATCAAGGAGGTTGAACCCCATCCCCATTTGGAAGATCTGAGTGCAAAACTTTGATCCAACAGTGAAAATTATCATTATAAATAATTTTTTTTGAAAAGACTTTATACTGTATCTGTAAAATTGTGAAGGATGTTGAGTTTCCTCTTGTGCTCTCTTCCTTCTTTGAACAATATATACAAAAAATCAGGCCAAAGCCAAGGGCTTAGTTGTCGCCGCTGGATTAGATCACTCATCCTAGGGGCAAAACAATTATAACGTGTACCATTACTTTAAAAAAAACACCAAATTATAGCACATTTCAAGAAAAAAATAAAAAACTTCTATGTACCCTAATATGAAGTATTATGAAATGATTGACTTTACATATAGTGTAGGTTTGAACCCATTATTTGAAAGGAAGGCCAGTCACATTTGTGGCTTGATTTTACATAATCTCAAATTTTCTGTTACTTATCCTAGCATCACCATGTTTTAGATCTTTAAGGACTGGTCTCTGAGAAGGACAGCATATTGTCATTTAGTTGGAACCCTCTTGAAAACGTTCTATTAAGTCATCCAGACCAGTCACACCCCACTTCAGCAAAGCACTGACAGTGTTGTAAGGACTATTGATGACAGGTTCCCATAATATCTGCCCCAAGAACTCAGTTTCTGAGAGCATTGCATTCCTACTTGAATATCCAGATTCCAGACCACACATAAAAGTACTTAAAATGTATTTAAAATTAACAATATGAGACTTCAAGTATGCTCAAACACAACTGGAGCACATTTGGAAGGGCTGATTGTCATTGCTATTCAATAATTGCACATGCTTCAGTTGCAGAGGAGTAATTTTTACCAACTTCAAGCACACTTGTACAATTTGGAAAGGCCAAGGAACCAATGATAATCAAACCCTTCAGATCTACCCCTCTTTTGTATCATACCAGTTTCAACAAGCACTATCAAAATCTAGGAGTGAGATCACAGGATCACAGATTCATTTAGGTTGGAAAAGACATTTTAGATCATGGAGTCCAACTGTTAACCTAGTGTTAACCCAGTCCATTACCATGACCCTAAGTGCCATAGGAACATGTCTTTCAAACACCTCCAGGGTATTTAGTGACTCAGGGTTAATCTGTTCCAATGCTTTATATCCCTCCGTCTCTGACTCCCTGGCCTTCCTTCCTGACACCAGCAGTATTAATTTCAGCTCAACTCCAAAGTAATTAAGGAAAAATGTGTGTTTACCTGTAGACAGCAGAAACATAGTCAGAATCCTTATTCTTCTGGGCACCCACATTCTTGCCCATTGCTGTTTCTAGGAGGAAAACATCAAAATTCCATGAGTGCAAAGTGAAATGCAGCGTACACAGTAAGTTACTACTGCTCCCATCTTCTGACTGTCACCACACCATCCCTTTGACAAGTGAAAACACGTATCTCTTTGCAGGGAATGAACTTTCTTTTTATTTCCATGCCCAGGAATCCTGCTCCTCAAGACAACCTCACTTCAGACTGCTACCTCTATCCTGCCAGTCCCACAAACTCAGCTGCTCAGATGCACATAATAAACCCTGGGAAAAAGGTTGGGAAGGATGGAAGTATATTTAGAAAATATTCAGGGACATTCCTCTTCAATCATCTTACAAAAACTGGCACATGACATACGCTAAACTCATGATCTTCTGCATCATTCACCATTCTACCACAATAACTGAACAGGACTTACCACAAATGATATCAAGGGCACACAGAGTGATGTCCATAAAAACATCAAATGGCTCCTTGTCAACATGCTTTTCAAGTTTCTCCACCAAAATATTTCCTTGTTCATTCATGACCTCTAGAAAGTCATTCAAGATTGCAAAGTGGAATGTGGGAGTTATCATCTTTCTCCGTGACCTCCACTTGTCTCCAGTGCTGTAAAATTAATGGGGAGAAGGAAGGCTAAAAACTCCAAGTCAAAAATAATATCTTCACCATTACAGGAAGTACACATTAAATACTGCAGCCTAGAAAAGGTGGATACACTCTCGATGTCTCTTCAAGCTGTTCATGGCACTCCACACAAGGAGCAAATGGAATTATTTCTTGCTCCAGGTCCCTTGGAAGAAGAAGCCAGCATTTCTCCAGCTGATCTCAACAAAACAAGAGATGCCAAAAAGCCTCCAGACAATACATCCTCGTTAGTCAGTGCACAGGCTCAGAGAGACCAAGCAGAAGCCAGGCAGAGGCCAAATCAGCTATTCAGCATCAAGGCTTCAACCCACCACCCTTCTCTCTGAATTAGTAGTTGTGCTTCATCCACTGGCCATGAAATGAGGCCTGCAGAGAACTAGATCCTAGGGAAATTATAAAAATGACTGCCTCAAGGCCTGGCTGCAATCTACCTCCTTGGAGACAAGTAATCACTTCCCACATGCCAATGAAAAGCATGGAGCCACAGTGAGTGTCACCAGCTTCCTAGGGGTCCTTGGTTACTTTTCTAAGTCACATGCCCCACAGGCACACAGCTGGCATTTCTGCTTACAGGGTAAAACTATCACACCATTCCCCCTGTTATCTTGCTATTGGGGCACTCTACAGGCAAGCATATCTGCTTGCTGTCTGCTACTGCTGCCTCTAACCAGCAGAGACTGGAACATTCTCCTCCACTACATTTTTGCAAGCACAAGGAAGTCAAAATACCTTTGTATGTATGGAAGACAAAACAACAAGTAAGGAAGGACAGTGAGGATACACCATGCCTGATGCCCATGGACCTCACCTCTGCATATTGGTATTGATTATTTACTGCCTTCCTAAAGGCCAGGAACAAAACTCAGGATAAAATGAATGCCTCATTGTCTCACGTGAACTTGCACTTCCCACACTGATGATCACAGCTGGCTTTTACAATACCATGGTCCCATCATAAAGCATGAGGAGTTCACCTCTGAGGGCTCCAAACAAGCAACAAAGGTAACACAGAGACCTGGACCTTTTCTCAAAAACTCAGAAGAGGCTCAAAGGTACCAACAAAGCCACTCTATACTTACCTTGCTCTGACTTTTGAATATCTGCATCATCCAGATCAATCCTTCCTTTGCCCTTCCAAGACTGGAGGACACCAAACACTTACATCACTGCTCCTCTTTCTCTCCACTCCTGATTTATGCTCCTACCCAGGCTCACTTCTCATGATCCTCTACTTCATGAATGAAATGAAGTACAGGGTGCAGATACTCTCTGATCCTACCCCAAAGCATCACCACCCTCAGGCCTATCCTACTGGTCTGCAGTACGACCAGCTGAGATAAGCAATGCACACAATCTCTTTGTTCAGAAATACACACAGCATTCCTGCCACCAAGACCTCTTCTTATCATGTACCCTGTAAATTTTAAAAAGACTGCAGTGCACCTGCATTTCATTATACATTATACCTTGTCAGAAGTCCAGTGCCCAACCATGGATGCAGGAATTTGTACAGGTATGATTTCTCTATATGTTTTGAACTGTTCAGAATAACCTGTCAGAAAAATGAACCGAGAGGGAAAAATATTACTTGTTAGATGGAGAGAGATCTTCACTCTTTCTTCAATAAACACTCCAACAGAGACACAACACTGTCTTTCTAGTTCAAGGACAATCAATGTCAGCAGCAAAACCAATGACTACATTTCAAATAGCATCAAAACAGACCCACCAAGTCTTAATGCAAAAGTCTGTCAAAGAGACACAAGCATTGCAACCTGAATTTCCTATTGTTCTATCTTTATTTCAGTGGTCCCATCTTCCTTGCTATCTGCTTGTTTCTTCTGATCTTGGCAGAAGAAGTTTTCCAGTGAAAACAAAGCTAATGCTTCTTCAATGCTTTCATTTGCTGGTTATCTTCAATCTCTCCATTCCCCCGACTAGGCCTTTTTATATTCATTCACTTTACATCTTTGTTTAGCACTAACTCAGAGAACCATCCTAAAGCAAATCAGTCCAAGCCCTTTTTCACAAAAATTACGTTGAGATAATAGAAACTAACAGGGGTTGGACACTGCTCTGCATGACAGTAAACTAGACAGGAAACCAGCACACTCACCTCCACACTGTCAGGATGATACAATATCATGAGAGGCACTGGTCCTATCCAAAGTTTGAACAATGGACAACTTCTGAACTCTTCAGTATAAAACTGCAGCTGTTTAAAAAAATCTGGAATAGAAAATAAGAGTAGAGTTTCACAGGGGGTTTTACAAAATAAGAAAGTCTTCTGTAATGAACTCTTTTGCACCACATGCCCTGCAATTTTGATTTTTGTTGTAGTTTTAACCTGCTGCTGTGACCAAGCAGCATCTTTTGCACCTGTAGATTTTACAGTTCAGGTGTTCTAATCTCTTCAGGCACAGACTCACTTATGCCACATTTATTTTATACCACATTTATTTATTTATGACACAGATCAATCTGAGGGATACCACTGTTTTCCAGCTGCCAGTTGGACTTCATACTAGTGAGCTCAGCAACACAGTGAATTCTCCTCCCACATTATTATACAATTATCCATGTCTTGTCAATTCAGCTATACAGAAAGATTGGAGATAGCTGAATCTGTTGGCAACGAAAGAACAGTAGATAAAAGTTTGATTTGATTCAAAAAGGTCTCTTGGATACTATCTCATCTCAGAGGACAAACAGGTTCATTCTGCAATATTAGAGGTGGGGGCCACTCTCAGGATGTTCAAGGATTAAACACTTCTTCGCCCTTTCAGAAACAAGCTTAATATTAGAAAAATTTATCATTTCCTAACAGATGCTCAAATACAGCTTTCCCTAGTCTTAGGAAAAGTTCTGACACCTCATCTAACACAATTCAGAGTGTGTTCAGATTATTTTGCTATTTTTAAAATATTTTTCCTAACATTGCCACAATTAAAATAGCACATTTTCCAGCAATTGTCTAGCAATACCAATAAAAACATCCCCATTATATGAAAAGTTATTTTCCTTTCTGCTATAGAAACTTACCCTTTTTAGAAGTTTTTTCGGTCATATTTTTAATGAAAAAGATTATAAACCACAATCTTCACATCTTTTTACATAAATAAACAAGAACAAAAAAGGCTGGACATAGGACCTATGTGATTCCTTAACTAAAGCACAGAAGCTGTGGGATTCCTGTTAACAAATGAGATTAGGGACTACACAAAACATGAGTTCACATTAATTTGCTTTCTGAAGATTGAAACAATGTTCTCGATTGGTTTGGGGCTCTTTAAGAAGATTTTTTAAAAAGAGGTTAAGAAAGAAAAATAAAAGTAAATTAATCTCTCAGTCCAGCTCATATAAACACCCTATGGATCCTCCTACTGCTTCCCCAAAGTCATCTTTGTGGAAATCTGCCTGCCCTCGCATTCACCACAGATGTCTCATATTTGTACTTAAATATGGGACTGGATCCAGAGGAAAGATATGACAGTGTGCCTTGTGTCTCAGCATGGATCAGCACTGGGCAATTTGTGTTCTAATGCCGTACTCCCACTTGAGTTCACCCTGCTCCCACAACCCATTAGTCTCTCTTCTGGCAGCATACACAGCTGCACAGCCAGCAGCAGCACATGTGCACAGAGCAGATGTGGCATACACAGGCATCACAAACACACACAAAGGAGTGTGGGCCACTGGCAGCAGACTCAGCAATGCTTTCATAACACAAACTCCTTAAGAAATATGTTCCTGTTAGAAAATGAGTACCAAATGGAAAGGGAAATCCAATAGAGCTCCCTCATGCACCTGGCAAAAAAAAAGTCCCATTAATCAGTTCAAGAACAAAAAGATTTACTTTTGAGGGATGTACTACAAATGTTCAGCAAGTTCTTTCACATCTAACACATAAATCTAAGTCACAGATGATTCTGGAAGTGAGCCCGGGTAGAAGCAACTTGACATGCTAAAGTCCCTTGCACATGCTTGCTTGGGGGAAGGTAATTGTTCCACATTTTGTTTGGATCACAGCAAAAAGTCACGAGGATATAGTGTTTTAACTTTGTGAAACAGCACTTCCTGCAAGAGCCCACAGCACGCCTCCCTCCCACTAAAACACATTCCACAGCGTTCATGCTCCACCCTACCAACAACTTAACGGTCTGAGCCCAGCAGCAGCGCCCTCATATTTAACCTCTAGCTAATCTTCGAGACCAACAATAATAACACATTTAGGCAGTTCCTCTTTTTCTCTTGACTGCCCACTCCTCTCACTCTCAATGTGACAGAGACTGCCCTCTCTCACATTGCCCAGAGAGACCTAAAGGCAAGATCACATCCTGACAGCCCAATCCCCTTCCCCAGCCAGCCCCAGCCAGCCACACAAGCAGGCAGTGCAGGGAACTCACAGCTGCGCCACAGTGGGAGCTGGCATTACCTTCTCCTTTCCGCTCTAAGAGCAGGGCATTTCCCAGCACAGGATAGCTGGGGCTGACACCCGGGATCAAGCTCATCATCCGCCATCGTCTCCAGTATTCCATCAGGGAGGGCAGGGAGCACACAGTCACGACTGTCAAAAGCAGAGCAATAATCCCAGCTCCCCAGGGCAGCAGCTGGGGTTTCCCTGAGAATCCTTCCAGGACCTCCATCGTCACCTCTCAGGCTCCTGCTCTGAGCCTTGATCCCTGAAGCAAACCTGGCACTGCCTGTACCCGGCACTGCAGCTGCAGAATGCCAAGTGTGTGGAGAAGCTGGCCAGAAGAGCAGGAGGCGGAGCCACCACACAGGCCACTGGCGTAGCTTCTTACCAGGAAAACAAACAGAGTTAAAAAACACTCCTATTGAGAGGCTGCCTGCTAGCATTTCCTGGTGGCAGGCAAGCCGCAGGGAACAGTGCTACTTTCCTGCCCTCACTTAGCTCGAGCGAAGTGAGGAGCGAAAACCTTTGCAGGCCCACACAAAAACTCAGAAAGAAAAAAACACCTTCAAGAGAAAAAAACACCTTTTTGTTAATTTGGGATAGATGAGTTTTCTCAATATAATCTTTCCCAATCTGTTCTGAGGTGCTCAACACCATTTTGCCATAGAGAACTGCTCCAGTGATGTCCAACACAATGACTGAAGGGCCAGATGGAGAACACCTCTTTCCAGCTGGGTTGATGGCTTCAAGGGGTTACAAAAACCAAAGGCCATAAAGACCCCTGATCAACAGCAGCACTGCAAAGCACACTGATGCTTCTCAGCTCATATGGCCTTTACTGATCTCACTGTTGATGCTCAGGCACAGGCTAAAGGGTCCCAATAAAACAACTGGCAGCATCAGCATCTGTGCCTCAACTTGCAAAGTGCCTGCGTAGACACAATACCGAACCCACCACATACACTGCTGCTCCCCCTGCCTCAGGAGGACCCAAGGGCTCTTCTCACTGCTGCAGGGCTACTGAGCATCTGTTTCTCAGAGTGGGTACTCAGATTCTTTGGGTCAAACAGAATTTTGGTAGAGGCATCATGGTTCACAGCCAAGTCACAAAACTTCACCCCCCAAATAAAGCACAAATGGTATTTATGGCCATAGTCACGTTTATCCTCTTTGCTTTGTACAAAAAATTACTGCACTGACTCCACAAGCATTTTTAGCAAATCAACAAACAGCATAAACAAAACAACTGAGACAAAAAACACAAACAGAAACTCAGAACATTAGAAGTTAAGTAAGGTTTTTGTGACCCTTGGCAGCAGACAAGAGTAAATTTTGGCACTTTGCTCTTGTAATCTCCCAGAAGAGGCTTTATTATAAATGCCAACTGATTTTTCTGCACAGCAAACAGCTGCAAATGAACTTTGCTACTCTTGCTGTTGTTTGTATTGGTTTGTGACAGAAAGCAACAGATATATACCCAGTCTTGCAAAGACACAGGCAAGTTACACAATCATCAGTGCCCTCTTTTGTTCAGGAAACATCCTAGGAAGGAAGTAAGCACATAGGATAAAGAGACTCATCTTTTGTCTTTTGAACATGGAGATCAGCTGAATAATTATACTCTCATATTTACAAAAAGTCTTGCAGTTTGTTGCCTTCATTAGACCAATAATTAGATTAAGTGATTGTTTGTGATTCTGAGTTAAAAATCTGTAGTTCTAACTGCTGATTACTCCTTCTACAGGAAAAAAACAAATACCAAAAAAGCAAAAAAACAAAAAACAAAAAGAAACACACACACAAAAAAACAAACAAAAAAACACTCCTGTGAAACAGCAAGGAGAAGGTGGAAAGGCATTGGGACAGCAGTAGAGAACACTGCACAACAAACATTGCAACATCCTGCCAGAAGCTGGCAATGGTGATGATGTTAATAAAAGACAGCTGAAATACTGGAATGAGACATAAAAGATATATACCCAAGAAACAGGAAAACAGAGGTCTAGCATCTTTGAGGCCTAATTATGTCACCAAGATTTGGAATCATAACAAAACTTGGAGGATGTTCTGTAGGAAATGAGTTTTCTACAAGACTGTAATCAGAATTTCCTTTTTACCCAGAGAGCTATTTGTTCAGTATTGGATTTCTGTGAGCACTCCACTGGTTAGTGAATCTTCTAATTTATAAATGTTTGCAACAGTGCAAACCTGCTCTTATTCGGCCTCTTGCCTAAGTGGAAGCATATCTATCAGTGCTGACAAAAGCAACTTGTTAGGCAGCTGTGTCAGTCAAGAGACACAGTAACAACACGGGCTTCTGCTAGTCCCTAGAATGCAGCCTGGATTCTTCACTAAGAAAAGTAATTTTTTTAAAAAAGCCTGAAACAAAGCAAAACAAGGCAGAGGGACAAAACAACAGAGGGACAATAGAGAAGTGCACAGCTCATTCTCAAAAACTGTTTTATTCTTAAGAAAGGCTTTCTCAGCAAGAGCTTCTCTCTTTCTAAACACACACCATCGCAATGTGATTAACCTTTATGCAGAAAGCTACTCTGAAATAAACAGGCTATTTGTAGTCCAAAACAGCCATCGCCTAGACAAAGAGAATAGAACACAGTATGTCTCCATTTCAAAATATGTCATCAGCTGGACAGCTGAAGAGCTCAGAGATCTCCCCAGTCCTCAGAGAGGAATTTTAGGGCCTGATACTAAATTTCATGCCTAAAATCTAGGCTTCCAAGAACAAGTCCTGAGGAAGACTCCAGCTTCATATCCTTCTGTGGACACTTTCTCACACAGGTAAAGGAGACTAACAGCATTTGTGAGACAGAGACTAATGGAAAACCGCTCAGACTATTCACTGAGTCTTCACAGAAGTGTAGCAAAAGTCGTTTATTTCTACATTTAGCACACTTTTATAGGGTCCGACAGGGTTCGCGGGGCTTAACAAGCTACTATTGGTTAATACATATTGTTTTACATTCTTTTCCAAGTACACAATGCCATTGTTTGTCTTTATTCTCACTGATCCAGGAGAGTTTCAAGGACACTGCCTTTAAGATTGTCACCTGGATTGAAAGCTGGGTTATGCAGACAGGCTTTTACTAAAGTATCATGCTTTTTCTCTGTTAAAATGTTTCTCTACAAGAGACCACAGCTGTTGATCAGAGACAGACCAATAGGTTTGATACCACCTCCATCAAGCATACCTTGCTTAGTTTCTGCAACCTAGGGTTCACTGTACAGCAGCAACTGCTTTGTTCCATAGCCACCACTTGAGATACTTCACTACAAGACATTTTGCATGAATGAATTATCCCCAACACAACACAAAGGCCTGCCTCCTAAGAAACCATAATCTTCCCTACCACAACATGACTTATAATAACAGAGACCATCACTCACGCCCCAGAACACAAACTACTGTAAAGCAATTCTGATAAGGTGTCAGTGATGTTGGCATAACTAATAGACAATTAACACAAAGTAGCTACCGAAGCACCACACCTATATTTGTTCATTAATGGCTCAAGGAAAGAGCACACTCCCAAACTAGATGATCACAACTTGTCCAAGGTCACAAGTGAAGATTCCACCCACTTCTCTGTGATTTGGCTAGATTGTACAGGGCCTCCTTGCTAAACTCCAGCAAGTTTAAAGAAAGCATTTAGCAGCATGCAACATACTACATGAAGTGAGCCAGAGGTCATGAAGAGTGAATAAACAGGGCAGTTTAAGACAAGGAAAAACTTAGGGGTCACAGAAGCACAGCACTGCAAACCTGCATTCTTGTAGCATGGAAGATTTGATATCAGTATTTTGCTCTAGGAAGTTCTAGTTGTCCACGTTTGATGTGCCTGCACATAACAGTCATAGCTGTACAGCCCCTTAGAAGCTGTCGTGGGTTAGCCTTGGCCAGCAGTCAGACAGTCACCCACCCACTCCCCTCCCTCAACAAGGATGAAAAATAGACTAGACTATGGGCCAAAATAGACTGGAAGATTGCTGATTTGCTACCATTGGCAAAACAGACCCAACTTTGGAAATTCAATTTAATTTATAGACAATTAAAAACAGATAATGAAGAAGTTAGAAACAAAGACAAAAGTTCCTCTCTGCTGCTCACTCCTCACTCTTTTCTCCTGCTCTAGCATGGTTTCTCCACATGCTGCTGAGGAATCTCTGCTCTTGAGCCTGGAGCACTGCCTCCTTTTCCTTCAATAACCTTGGTGTTTGCACTGCAGTTTCCATCTCTTTTCCCTCCCCACACTCCTCTGTCTGTTTAGCATTTTTTTGTACACTTGTAAATACTTTTTCACAAAGGTGCCACTGGCTTAGCTGGTGAACTCAGATAAGTCCTGCAGTAGATCCAGAGTGGAGCCATCAAGAACTGTGTTATCCTCTCTAGCCACCCCAGTAGCAGCACTGCTACTGACACCATGACACCTACACTTACATGGCAAGCAGAAAAGCCTACCATGAAAAAATTACAAGACTGAAAGGGAAAATAGAGGTGAAAAGTCCTTCACATCACCCCCTAGTGAGACCAGAAATGTCCATTACAAAGTGATGGATGCATGTAAACTATCAACAACATTAACCATTTGGAAACCATACAGGTGTTTTTCCTTACAAAGTTCAGGGAAGAATCACTCAGGACTAAACTTCTCCAGGTCAGGGAAAATCTCAGTAGGGCACAAATTACAACAAGAGTATATGTGCCATTCAATTCTTGATATCCTCCTGAAGAGAAAAAGGGAAGAAGGATCAAAACAATAATAAATAGGTGGCTATGACTGCTCTATCATAAAAAAAAAAAAAAAAAAAAAAAAAAAATCCTACCCTACCCTTTACTTGGGAAACTCTCTCAGTACTCTCTCCTGCAGATATTCCAGCACCCTTCCCAGCCACACCTCTAGCAACTTTTCTAACCCTAAAAACATGGTGTATTCCTATCTCAATTTCTTCAGTCTTGATAAAGGAGGAATGGAAAACTTACCAAACACCTTGTCCAGTTCTCTGTGAACCTTCTTCTGGGCTTATCTTCAGGATTATGTCCAAGGGCATTGCGAGAGTATACAGACATGCAGTTAGAAAAGCAAAACCTCAGCTCAAATGGAAATTTGTCAGAGATGTCAAAAACTACAAGAGTTCTTCAGGTACTATCATAGCTTAGACCACGATGAAGTACCATGCATACACCCCATCCCAGTACAACAGAGAGGAGTATCAGAACAAATATAAAACCCATGGGTTGAGATAAGAAAAGTTTAATGATTGAAATATAATAAAGTAAAATGAAAACAGGAAGAGAGAGGAACAAAACCCAAGAAACAAGCAATTACACAAAACAATTGCTTAGCACCCACTGACCTCAATCTATCCCCAAGCACCAATAGGTCCCTCCCAGCTGCTACCCCCCACCAGTTCATGTACTGAGCAGGGCCTTCCATGGTATGGAATATCCCTTTGACCAGTTGGGGTCAGTGGTCCTGGCCCCTCACAGCTTCTTGTGGACCTTCTCACTGGCAGAGTACGGGACACTGAAAGGTCTTTGATGTAGGGCAAATGCAAATTAGCAAGAACTAAATCATTAGGATGCAATTAACATTATTCTCATACCAATTTAAACCACAGCATTGTGCCAGCTATGAGGATGAAAATAAATTCTATGCCAGTTGAAACCAGGACAGGTATGTAAACAAGCAGAGACAGAAGGAAAGTATTTGCCTGCTGTTTAACAGAAGAGATGAATTAGTCACCAACAAGGCTGAAATGGCAGAGGTACTCAACACTTTCTTCACCCATGTCCTTTCACCACTACCAGGCCTTGAGAAAAAAAAAAATCCTGGCTGATGCAAACAGAGACCCACTATCTGTGAAGGAAAGGATGGTATGTGAACTATTACACTACCTTGACTAGCTTGACCTCCACACATTGATGCACTCTGACAGTATCAAATCAAGGAAAGCTGGCTGATATAGCTTCAAGGCCACTCACCATAATTTCAAATGAAGCCCATGATTAGGAAAATCCAGCACAGATTGACCAAGGACAAATTGTGCTTGACAAACCTGATTGCCTCTTACAACAAATGAATCCGCTTGGTTGATGTGGGGCCAGCGGTGAACGTTGCCTACCTGCATATCTCCAAGGCTTCTGATACAGCTTCCCACGGCCTCCTCCTACAGAAATGTCTCTGTGATGGTGTGGATGTGGGATCCATGTGGTGGGTGGGGAACTGACCAGCCACACCTGGAGGGTGGTAGTAAATTGCTCCCTTTCACACTGGCAACTGCCACAAGTGGAATTCCCCTGGGGAATGATACTGGGTCCAACACTGTTTAGCATCATCAGTGACTTGGATTATGGGATCAAATGTACCTGGGGGAAGTTTGTCAGTGATACCAAAGTGAGTGAGGCAGTGGACACTTTGGAAGGGAGAGCCACCCTGCAGGAGGACCTGGACAGGCTGAAAATTTAGGCTAACAAGAACCTTATGAAGTTCAATAAGGACAAATATAAGGTCCTACACATGGCAAAACATAATCCAGGAGAGCAGCACAGGCTGGCTAGGAAACAGCTCTATGGAAAGGGACCTGGACACAAATAGCTCACTGTGAGTGAACAGTTTATTGCTGCAGCAAAGAAAGCCAATACAAGACTTGGCTGCATCAACACCAGGAGAGATAAAGTAACTATCCTACTCTACTCAGTTCTGGTCAGGCCAGCCTGGAATACTGTGTTCAGTTTTGGTCCCTGCTATACAAGAAAGACAGTGGACAGGGTAGAGAAGGTGCAGCAAAGGGCAACAACGGTGACCAAATTACTGGGTAGTCTGTCATGTGAGGAAAGGCTGAGAAAACTGGATTTGTCCAGCTTGGAAAAAAGAAGCTTAGGCACACCTTTTATCACTGTATTCCTGTATTTAAAGTGTGGCTGCTAAGATGGAAATTCCCTTTTCATATGAAGTCTTATGAAAAAGTGAGGAGTGACGTGTGCAAGTTAGACCTGGGAAGATTCTAACTGGACACAAGAGGAAAACTTTCCACAATGAGAATAATCAGCCATTGGAATAATCTCTCCACTATGTGGGAAGTGGTGGATTCTCCAACATGAACACTTACAATTCAGCTGGAAGGGTGATGGGCCATCTCATCCAGACTGTGCTTTTGCCAGCAAAGATTGGACCAGGTGATCCTTGAGGTACCTGCCAACCTGGAATGAGTCTATAATGACTATTAGAATATAAGATGTCAGGTGCCCAAAAACTGACCAAAAGTGAGAAGTGTTAAAATACTTCTGGGAGACAGCAAACATCCTTCTTCCTCTCTCTTGCCACCTGAGAGCAATCCATTGCTCTAGTAATTAGAAAATCTTCCTTTATAAGCTGCAGAAACAGACACTTGTTATTCTGCTCTTCTCTTAATTTGTACAAGAAATCTCAAAAAGTGGGAATGGTCTTACAGATTTGTCAGCATGTGGTTCAATTGCTTGGCATCTACAAATATGTTTGGCTTAGCAGGGAAAACATTACTTGCTGTAAACAAAGTTTATCTCAGCAATTCCCATAGTTACTGATGATTAGAACAGCAATAAATGAGATTTCAAAAGAATTAAAGGAAGAAGAAAAAAAGGTTGGTACAGATAATATTTGTAAGAGATCAAATATTATAATAATATAATAATGAGACAGATTGAAAAATGAAGAAATGTTAAAATAGCAGTTGAAGTACTGCAAACTCCTGTTTAAAAGTATAAATTTAAAAGTATAAATTTTATATATGACTAATATCTAGATAGACTAGAACATCTTTAAGGAAACAAAAAAAGCAGGAACAGCACTTTATGATCTAAATGTATCTTATTTGATAGGTAGAAAAATAATTCTCTAGGAAAGGCATAAAAAGGAGGAATGCCTGAGAAGAAAGTGCAGCCGCAGTCTCTTGATACTGCAAACAGAGAAGACACCTCAACCATTTATTTCATTTTACTCTAATTTTTAATCTAACCTCCGGTCAAATAATTTTAAAAGAAGGTAATGCAGGCATCCTGAGGATTGCAAGTCTCAGCAGACACCACCAGCATATGCACACCTTCTTTGTTACACAAGATACTAAGTGGCAAATTTAGTGCTTCAGTCTTTCATTCAGTGTAGAGTGTTTATGTTTCTTCCTAAAACAGGTTATGAAGCAATCTGAAATTTCTTCCTTGAGGTTGGAGGATTTCTCTGAAAGGATCTGGAGTAATTCTGTGAACCTGGAAAATATAAAACATTATTAATTGTTGTAGCTTCTGAAAGACACTCCAAGATTATATATGAGTTACTTCCGCCAATGCGCTCAGATTAATATTTGCTAACCAGCCCTTATTCTTACATCACCTGTTATACAATTATATCAATGATATAATTATTTAAACTCAAGGAACTTCCAAACCAGTAAAGGTTACTTATAAGGACTCAAATACACCAGGAACTATCTAGTCAGCTTTATTGTAAAAATGAAACTAAATGAGCCACATAGGGTTGCTCCCTTTTTTGGGGCTGTAAATTCAAGAGAGAACTGCAAATCAATACTGACCTTTTTTTATGAAATATTTATTTATTTTTTTTTTAAAAAAGCATTTTCAAATATACTTTTTTGTATGAAGAATCTTTTTCTTCACACAAAAAGTTTATTAATTTCAGACCTAAAATAAAATTTGTCTTGAGCAGTTCACAAGCATGCAACTGTGTTGCTACTCTAGCAGCTGCAAAAATATCTAGCCTATACACCACATACTCTTGCTATAGTTGTAAATATGTCAAAATACTAAGAAAAAAAAAAAAAAAAAGATGAGACAAGACGAGACAAGACAAGACTGAATCCTTTTCCTCCCATGTCACAACAAGAAAAAGAAGCTTCACAGGATTCCTAGCCATAAGAGTTAGGACTACCTCAGAACAAGTGAGAAGAGACTTCAAAATACAATTCAAAAGATCCTGCCAAGAAAACTCATTCTTCTTTCATGCTGAGATGGCTGTCCCTAAGCACTACACTTTTTGACAGTATGATGGGTTAATAGGTTCTACTGACTTCCAAGTCATTCTTCTTTGCCTACCTGTTATCAAAAATCCTTGACCAGCTCTTCTGTGGTTAGCAAAATCCATGGAAGTCAGTGACTTCTGAGGTGTGTCTCTCTGTAAAAATGAAAGATATATTCTTAGCTAGTGTGATACACTTATCTATGGAAAGGGTTTGATTAGGGTTTTTATGATCTAATTCAGCAGACTGGATCCTACCAAAGTGCAAAGCTCCAAACAGCACTAAAACTGTACACTTCTAGAACACACACACCCTCAAAACCTGGAAAAAAAATTCTTCCTCATACAATTGTCCTACACCCTCCCCAAGACTTTTAGCATCCTTCTCTTTACAGGTAGCAGGAATCCCTGTGCATTAGAAGTCACATGAGACCCAGAAATGAGACCTTCTGTAAACCAACAGCAGGCATGAAAGAAAACCTCTTTCCTTTTTCCATATCTCTGTTTACACTGTAACATACCCTGAATGTATGAGTTGTGTTGGGTCTTGAAAATTGATCAACAGTAACAGTTCTTTCTCTGAGTGGCTGTTGCTCTGTCATGCCAGCTACTGCACTTGACACTCTGCTATGAGCACATCGTTCTTGATGCTGAGAGAATTAAAAAGAGCATTAAGAGAATGCAGCAATTGAATAAGTTAATTTTTTTTTTTTCTGTTGACATAGAAAACTTCAGAAGAAGATAAGTAAAGTATGTTTTCAATGAAAAAAAGCACCAATTTAAGTGTTTGCCTGTTTTTTCAGTAGATGCGAGATAGTTGCTATGTTGGCATATTGATATAGCAACATGCTAATTTACTTTTCTTTTGGTGATTTATTACTTCCTCAGCCTTCAAAAAATAGGCCAGTATAAGATCTGTTTTTTTCAGTTGCTATCCTTTTCTATTTCAGTCAGCATAGTTTTCTAATTCTTATAACCTAACACCAGTGAACAGAACACTGAAAAGAGCTATTTAAATCTGAATGCATAGAAGAGCAAGATTACTAAGGTTATCTTGTTTGTTGGTTCTTTTTAGCTTTTTCTTTTTTAAAATCAGGTTTTTCTGTTATCAGAGAAGTCTTTCCACTATGATCTGTCTGTGACCTGAGGCTTTAAACCTCCTTCCCTTGCACTGTAATTGCACCCAAATGTAACACACATTAGCATGTTAAAACTATCTATTAATACAAACCAACTCAAGCTGTAAAATTACTCATTTTAACCAGTGACATAGCGCAATTTATTTCTAAATAGCTTGACTTCACTGGTAAAAAAATGAACACAACTTACAAAGCTCTTTTGCATTCGAGGTACTAAAACACGTTGTTCCACAACCTCAGAATTTATTGGTGGTAACTTGTTCCGGGTTGCAGGTGCACGAGCAGGAGATAAACGATCCCAGCTGCCAACCCTACAGAATTGTAAGAGTTCCACTTTTAGGAGCATTCACATTACAGACTTCTTCACTGAAGTAATATGAAATTATTAAGTAGTACATTTCTTTACAAAGCTCAGCTACAGAAAATAATAGCACCTAATACAGCAATAAATAAGTAAAAAAAATGCCTTTCCTCAAAAAATCATGGCTCTGCTGGCTTTCTCCTTCCCTCTGAATTCTACACTTAATAATAAATCATGAGTTAGTTCTCAAGTATTTTGCAAAATTCCTTAGTAGTGAAATTTCAGTAAAGTTCTGAGAAAAGAAAATAATAAAATGAAAAACTCACAGTTTCATCCCTTTACAGATTTCATCATGGTACATATTAGGAACTTCTGAGCAGGGTTGGTCAGAGGTGAGAGAAGGTAACCTTGGTAGTTTCCTAGAAGATGCCAGCAGAACTGGAGATGATGAGAGAATATTGTTAGCAGAAGTTGTCCCCAGTCTATCATGCGCTGAATTTGGAGTGCTGTAGGCAATGCTGTGCTGTTTGTCTTCTTG